TCTAGATCAGTGAATGCTTATCAATTATGAATGTTTTCTCATGACAATAGACGTCAGCAGTCTGTATGGTGTAATTATAACCAGCCATAATGTGGCACAAATTAGTGGTTGTTGATTATGATCAGTGGTTGCTGAATTTCAACACAGAGCAGTTGTCTAGTCTAGATTTTGTGACAAGTCTCTGTATTTGTTTTTTATCTGAGTAAATTGTAGCTGTATGTACCATTTCTGTTTAATAGTATCACTATCTATGGTGATACGTATTCACACATGACAAGCAGTAAGCGTGACATGGTCAATATACACACTGACATATTTAAAATGAGTGAAGCCCCGCTAGTCCGACTCGATAATCCGATGTCTCGCCCCCGGCGATTTCAGCTTGTTACCAATCTATGCCTATATAATTTGCCTCGATAATCCGAAATTCGCTTCCGAACCGACGGTAAGTAGCTGTCACCAATCAGTAAAATAAACAGTAAATTGCTTCACAGTCCGACGCTGTAAGTCGTGTTCACGAATCGTAGAATAACACCGCCTCGCGATGTTTACTTAATTAACTGGCCAACTGGGTTGTTGTTTTAATTAGACATAAAAAGCTCCCCGACTGAAGATACTGTACATTTACACTTTGATTGACACCACAATACAAAGGCGTGGATGACAAGTGAGCTGTTTTGTGATTGGTTAATGTACTTTGACAGACAGATCCGGGTCACGCGGACTAAAAGTGATTTTGCTTTTACTTAACAATGCTGCAAGTCACAAGTGTGCTTCGCTAACTTTGCTAAATGTGACCAAATACCACGCCTCATATTCAACCGATGGATGCAGGAATAATTCGACATTCAAGGCATACTACAATAGATCGCTTGTTAGACATTACCTCACCTGTGCTGAGGAAGGACGGATCAGACACGCCGGATCAACATGGATGTCACTCGGTAAAATTATTATTGATGTGATGAATTAAGCTTTACATTAAATGCTTATTTGTTTTATCCAGATTCGCGGTCGCTTTTGTAATTTTAGGGAAGCAACTTGGGTCTTGATTCAGTAGTCCGACTATTCGCGAACCGACGAATTTACTGAGAAACGCAACCGTCCGGATTAACGAGGCTTCACTACTACGACAAGCATGGGTTACTGAAGATCAATTCTAACCCGGATCTTCACGGGTCGGAAAGTGCTTGAAAATAAGATGCTATGTTCAGTTCCGTTTACGACAATTTTGCTGAACATTTCGTAAGTGTGATGATAATGCTGTATATATTTCCACCCTTGGCTGATGGATCACTCTCAGTCAGTTGCCATTGAAATGTACACAAGGTGCAATGAGTCCCAGATTTGCCCAGGTTATACTTCTTGCTTTATCAGCACCACAGCTTGTTGGCTCGTCACGCCGAAGACCCGGTTTGAATCCCCACATAGGCACAATGTGTGAAGCCCATATCTGGTGTCCCCCGCCCTGATGTTGCTGGAATATTGCTAAAAGCGGCATACAACCAAACTCAGTCAGTCAGTCATTGGTAGTAAAAGACCTGTACCCCACCATGATATAACTGAAATCCTGTACAAAAGACATGAACCAAACCAAAGTATCACTCAAATATACCTGATAGTATTGATATTGATATTTTACAAAGTACAACATTATGTCTGTTATCATTTATGAATTAGTTAAGTCTGTAAGGTATCAAGTTAAATGCAAAGGGCAATCCAAACATGACAGTCAGCGGATAAAAAATTCATGACAGAAAGTAAACCCACCTCTTTCCTTCAACAAAGTGACAATCCATTGTAAATACAAGCAAGAGAACCAGTTTTATATGTGAAGGACTTAGTTGTAACACATGTTCATTGCATGCCAGGAAAGCACAGGGAAGTTTAGCTGTATCATTGTGGACACATGATCTCACGAAAGATGATGTGGCATTGCACTTGGCAGTTGTAGATTGTGTTGAAATGAACCAGCTGGTCATAAAACATAACATTTTCCAACATAATATCAAAACCATATGGCTATCCAAAATGATGGAAATTTGATCTGTCAGCATTTTCAGATCATGCATGAAACAGTAGCAGTTTAGGTTTCAAAGCTCTTGAGCAAATTGATATTATCCAGTACTTATTTTTGCAATGACATCACTTACTATTTAAACAACATATGGTGCATATTGCTGGGCTCATAAGTACAATTGTCCCAACATCATGGAATAAACCGATGACTCAACACTGGTGACTGTATTTTTAACCCCTCTTTCCCCCCCCTCAGATTGTATATATAGTTGGTAGGGGATGTAGTCGACACCTCATCCGCCTGTCCGTCCGTTCGTAATCATTTTGTTTCTGGAGCATAACTCAAAAACCGTTCTAACTTTTCCAACAAGAATTGGTAGATATATCAAACAGAACCTAAGGTGGTGCCTTTTGCTATTTACAGATTTTTGTCATTTTTATTTTTCTTGGTTTCCATGGAAACGTTTTGGACTTAGTCTGAAAAAGGGAGGGGTGGGCTTCATTTCTGGAGCACAACTTGAAAACTTCTTAATATGTTTCAGCAATACTTGGGAGATATATGAGGCAGATCCCAAAGTGGTGCCTTTTGCTATTTGCAGATTTTTGGCATTTTTATTTTTCCTGGTTTCCATGGAAAAGACTCGGACTTAGTCCCAAAAGGGAGGGGTGGGCTTCGTTTCTGGAGCACAACTCGAAAACTTCTTAATATTTCAACAAAACTTGGGAGATATATGAGGCAGATCCCAAAGTGGAGCCTTTTGCTAGTTGAAGATTTATGGCATTTTTTTTTTACATGATTTCAATGGAAACAATTTGGATTTAATCTAAAAAAAATAAATCAAGCTGGACTTTAAGTAACTGTCAGATGATTTGTTCTTTCAAATATGTGGGGGCCGGGGGGATATGTCATCCTATGATGACTGTTGTTAGTTTTGTTGACTTTCTCCCTTGATATAGTGTTGGGTCTTGTAAACTCACTGGATTGAGACAAGACGTAACAGGTCCTCAACAACTAGGACATTTGGAAGTCTAGCCATCTTTTCTAGGTCTGAGTTCGCATTTTTGGGGGGTATATGCCATAAGAATGTGACATTTGTGTTGATGGCTGGGAGTTATGTGATTGATGTTGACTGAAAGTAGTCTTGAGGTTGGTTATGTTTCTGATAAATATGACAATACTTTTTATATTGTCTCGTTTTATACAGCATTGTGTTTGGTGAAATATTTACGTGATTGTTTGATATTGGAGAAGTTAGATGAAGACATTTTCAACCCTAATTTCAGTCTGCTATCTGGATGACCATTCAAGTAGAAATGAGGGGTTATTTGTGGGGAATTGCAAATTCTTCATTTTTGTAATTTTGTGAATTTTGGTTCAACAGTAGTGTCCTCACGACTGGTTTTGGTTGGGATCTGCTGTGCAATGCAAACAGAGCTGGATCCGAGATAAACAGCCAATGTTTTGACACTGTTACAAAGATGAAGCATGGGCCAGCACACAAACACTTGCTGTCAAAACTTCTTCCTCAGATTGTGCACAGTCATCGGTTCAGCTTCCTGCATGGCATACATGTTTTCTAATTCATTGCCACATATAAAAAGGGTGTTTTGCTGAAATATTCTTTTGGAATGTGGAAGTATCTGTTGATGTTAAACAGATTTGTGTAATAAGATGTTTGTCATGTCAACATGTTGGGTAGCATCGCTAACAGATTGGTTCGGCAAGCAGCTAGGACAAGAGTACAAATAAAGAGAGAGAGAGAGAGAACAATGTCAGCTTGTCCGTCCTCTATCAAGAGCTTTCATATAGGACTTCATATCACATTCTGTTAATATGCTTCCAGGGTTCGAAATACACCATATATTAGTGTGCCATGGCACGGTAAATACTGAAATGACACGGCTAAAAAAATTTTTGTGCCCTTATGACACACCTAATTTTTTTAAGACATAACTTACATTTAGTCAATTAATCCCCAAAACAATTATTTTTCTCAAAATTGAATAATGCCATACATATTTGAATGCTCATAAACCAATTTCTTTATTTAACATAATAACAATACATTTCAAATGACCATCAGCATTGTTATTTATTCTAAAAACATGTGGCACACTTGATTTCTGAAAGGCATACCTAAAATATTTGTCTGGTGCCCTAAGGCACACTTAGAAAAAAAAGTATTTCTATCCCTGGCTTCTATCAAGATTCACATGTTTAGTTTGAGAGAGACTTTTATGGAGTGGATAGTGTACTTTATTTCTAGTTGTTTCATGTATTACAGAGGAGCAGACTTGTAAAGTTGGGAAATGTAGAAGAATATTTTATGATGCTGTGTTGGGGGACTGTGGGGTAGCCTTGTGGTTAAACCGGTTGCTCGTCACGCTGAAGACCCGGGTTCGATTCCCCACATGGGTACAATGTGTGAAGCCCATTTCTGGTGCCCCCACGCTGTGATATTGCTGGAATATTGCTAAAAGCGATGTAAAACACAACTCACTCACTCACTTTCAACTTTGATTTTTGTGGATTCTGAGGTAGTTATGTCAGGAAATTATTCTCACACATAACTCATGTTACGTTATTTTGTCATTTGGGAAAATTGGAAAAGCCATGAAATATGTTGGTATGGCCTTAGGAAGGCCATGTTAGCACGAAACTACATCCATTTCTATTACTTTGTAATTAGGAAACACAGATTGTCACTGTGTGGTTAGGGGACGGATGGTGCACTGAAACAGGTGGCACAGTGATGGCTGCATCACTCTTGCTGTGTATGTGCACTTAATGATTGTGGGTTTAAATCCCAGATTCACCCTGATAATGATCCTTGATCCACACTCATACCTATGCTTGTGGGTTTCACCAAAAGTGCCAACAAATTGTGTATTTTGGAAGAAAAAAAACATAATATAAAATATATCAGTAATATTTTGAAAGCCCATATTACTCTCTGACTGAATGACTGATTCTGTTGCAGGATCATGCCTCCAGGAAGCTGGGGAGACGTACAAGCACCTTGCAGAAATCAAGTACAACTTAGAGGACAATGTCAAACAGAACTTCCTGGAACCTCTGGCACTGCTGCAGGCAAAGGACCTCAAGGAAGTCAATGTCAGTAATAGTCATGCACATGTTTACACAAATCTTCCACATAAAATAATGTGTTCATAAGTCAAAACATGTTTGATTGTCAGCTCCTATACTTTTGCATGATGGTTTGGTTAATCTTTTTCTTTTAGCACCAAAGAGCTTCAGGTTATAGGTTGCAGGATGCATATTGAACAAAACATATTTTATTGTTTTATGTTTTAAACATCTCAGATATTATTGAATTTATTTGTTTATAAACAATGAAATGATATTTAATAAAAGTTTGCGATAGCATTGTGTTTTGCAATGCTCATGATACAAGGGAGATAACCTTAGTACTTTATTGTTTGTGTATTTGTCTCCCTTTGAAGTGTCTTGAAGGGTCACATCAGACATCTGTCTATCTATCTATCTATCTATCTATCTATCTATCTATCTATCTATCTATCTATCTATCTATCTATCTATATCTATCTATCTATGGAAAAACTTCTATAGCGCCATATCCAGAAATAAACTGCTCTGCAGCGCTTGAGACTCTGATGGAAAGTTAGTTGTTGTATGCTTCACGAAAGTAATGAGTCTTTAGCTGTGATTTGAATGAGTCCAGGTCGTGGTTAGATCTCAGGTGTTGTGGGAGTTGATTCCACAAGTTTGGTCCGGAAATTTGAAAAAAACGGACGGTGATGCGACTGGTTTTAGTGCAGGTGGCTGAAGGAGAAACTGGTGAGAGGATCGAAGAGATCTGACAGGTTGATATCTGGTTATCATGCTGGAGAGATACTGAGGGGCTTGATTGTGGAGACACTTGAAGACAAGCAGGACAACTTTGTATTTGATCCGCTGTGGCACTGGCAACCAGTGTAGATGTTGGAGAATTGGTGTGATGTAATCATGTCTCGCTGTTCTTGTTGCGACACGGGCTGCTGAGTTTTGTACAACTTGTAACTTCCTGATCAGACATAAGATAATAATTGCACATTTCTTTGCTGAATTTTTACGATTGAACAAATACTTTCCCTTGTTCACCAAATAAGTGTCTTTTATATGCATCTGATGTGATTCTTTGTTTTGACTGATTTTTTTTATATTATATTCCTTGCAGCACCATCGGAAGAAGTTATCTGGGAGACGTTTGGACTTTGACTGTAAACGAAGAAAGAAAGAAAAAGGTGTGTATGTGATGTAGATGTGTGGAAGATGGTGTAGCTGGCGCCACACTTGCACACCGGCTGTCACAGTGATGCACTATGCTTACATGCATCTACCTCATGCATCTGATCTCTATGGATGATAGCTTGTCTGTAACAGGAACTAATTGTAAATGTAACATGGCCTGCTGTGTTGTTGGCAAGTTTTGTATTAGTCACCAGGGATTGGGATAAACAACTTTGACAATGGGCCATTTTCAGGATTATTAGCCCTTTTTCTGAATTTAGAATGGGCCACTGCCCTTGTATCAATAGTAAACTTCAAAAGTTTAATGGGCCATTTTTTATTCTAATGTGCAAAATGGCCCATGGCCCCTGCCTTTCCCAATCCCTGAGTGACTGTGCATTAATCTATTTTACATGTTTGAAAAACTTCTCTCTTGAAAATTTAATACAAAACTTTGAAACATGTCATTTTCCTCATACAATAATCAAATATAATATTTTTACATTTCTCACCATAATAGTCTTCCTGATCTTGGTGTCATTGTATCATGTGATCTATTATGTTTTTCTCATATTTGATGTATCCCTTACATATCATGGTTGCCGTTTGTCTGCCTTGAATTCATTGGCTTGGTGGAATGAGTTGGTTCCCTATTAAATTTTTAATGTTTCATTTTAAAATTTCAAAATTCCACTTTATCATTATTGTTTCTATTTTAAGATCTTACTGTTTTAGCAATACATTTCCTTGGTTTCATGTTCATTTATTTTTACTTTGATAATGATTTAGGATGGGATATGGAGGAAAAGATAGATAGTATTTCCACCACACCCACTGGGCAGTTCTCTTTATTTCAGACATGATCATAGTGACGTGTGTCATGCATATTCATCATCATCTCTGTGAATACACAATGCCATTTAATAAGTGGTTAGTTGTAACACATGTTATATTTGGTATAACACCTTCTCAGTAAAGTATATTGTGAGCCGCACAAATTCACATTTGTCAAAGGGGTACACCAGGCCTACCAAAGAAAACTTTCCTACTGTGCAGAAACATGCAGAAAAGCCCACATTCATCATGGAAATAGCAACATAAACATGTTACCTTGCTACTGAAACAGTAAAAACAGCAACGAAAGACTATGAAACTGCAACATTTTTGTATCAGCGAACTTTGACCTCTACTGCGCATGCGCATTACGATCCGCGCTTCTTTCAAATTTCAAAACAAACTTAAAAAGGGAAGTTAAGTTTTGTCCAATGTCAATGAAAATGTCAACATGCAGTGGAGACTTGTTCTTCCATGTGCGCATGCGCAAAATGGAAGTTGCAGGTTAAAGTCTTCAGTTTTTTATCCAGTTTTAGCGATTTAAAGTTGCCGTTTTGACTGTTTCATTAGCAAGGTATTATGTTTATGTTGCCATTTCCATGATTCATGCAGGCTTTTCTGCGTTTTTCTGCACGGTGGGAAAGTTTTCTTTGGTAGGCCTGTACATATAGTATGTGATCTAGACTACCAGTTGTCCGACTTCCAATTTTTTAGAAGCCAAGATGGTTGAGTGGCTTAGAGTGCTGACTTTGTGTGCTGGCGATTAGGTGCCTCACTTGGAGAGTAAGGGCTTGATTCAAACCAGCGAAAGTAGTAGAATCTGTCCTTTACTGAGAAAGTGTAATATATATATATATATATATATATTGTAAACCCCAAATACAACATATGTTGCATCATCTCTGTGCTAAAAAACAACAATTGGTTCTCAGGCAACAGGTTTTGACAAATTATGGGCCACTGCCCTTCTTTCTGTTCTTCTCCGAAACTAATATGTAACATTATAAACACTTATGAACAATCACTCTGCGATAGATCCTGGTCACTTTGTTTCTTCACATGTGAAGCAGCTCGTGGTTGGCACATTGGTAACACATAATGCAAGAAGACCAAGCTTTTATACTACTGTAAATAACAGAAGTAGCTTAATTGAATTTTCATGTGAATTATTATTCATTTCTTAGCACAGATTTTAACCCTCAGTAATCTTAATCTGTGCATACATTTCTTTATAGCAAGTTTCATATTTTCATTGGCAATGTTTTCAAGCAGTGAAACAAGCACACACAACATGCTGTAGATAGCATAGAGTGCCTGTAAGAGGGAGTATACTGGCTAGCATGCATTATATTATTGCTGCATTTCACTGCTGAGGTTGTGTTTAAGACATATTAAATATATCTGTTGATTTTCATGTTAATCGAAATAAAACAAAACTGTTAAGGTTATATAATTATGCGGCACTGCCTGAGAACCAAGCTTATTTTTTAGTCTGAGAAATGTGTATACTTTGTGATTTCCATGACCAGGTATTGAGTGTGTCCGTCTCGGGTTCAAATTCCTGTTGGGCTTTGCATCATCCATCCCTTGTCATTCAGCTTCACCCTCATGTTTCCTCCCTGATGACACTTTAACGACCTTCACCCTCATGTTTCCTCCCTGATGACACTCTACAACCTTCACCCTCATGTTTCCTCCCTGATGACACATTACGACCTTCACCCTCATGTTTCCTCCCTGATGACACTCTACGACCTTCACCCTCATGTTTCCTCCCTGATGACACTTTACGACCTTCACCCTCATGTTTCCTCCCTGATGACACTCTACAACCTTCACCCTCATGTTTCCTCCCTGATGACACTCTACGACCTTCACCCTCATGTTTCCTCCCTGATGATGCTCTACGACCTTCACTCTCATGTTTCCTCCCTGATGACACTTTACTTTACCTTCGCCTCTCATGTTTCCTCCTGATGACCTTCACTCTCACCTCCCTGATGACACACTTTTACACCCACCCTCATGTTTCCTCCCTGATGACACTCTACGACCTTCACCCTCATGTTTCCTCCTGATGACACTTTTACTTACTCTCTTTACAACCTTCACCCTCATGTTTCCTCCCCTGATGACACTTTTACGACCTTCACCCTCATGTTTCCTCCCTGATGACACTTTTCGACCTTCACCCTCATGTTTCCTCCCTGATGACACTTCACGACCTTCACCCTCATGTTTCTCCTATGAACCTTCACCCTTCACCCTCATGTTTCCTCCCTCTGATGACACTTTACCCTTCACCCTCATGTTTCCTCCCTGATGACACTACTTTACCCTCATAAGCTTCCTCCCTGATGACACCTTGATGACACTCTGACGACCTTCACCCTCATGTTTCCTCCCTGATGACACTTTACGACCTTCACCCTCATGTTTCCTCCCTGATGACACTCTACAACCTTCACCCTCATATTTCCTCCCTGATGACACTCTACGACCTTCACCCTCATGTTTCCTCCCTGATTTCACCCAAGTGTCCATACAATGATTGGCCACCTCAAGCTGCTTAACGAAGACATGTTTTCAAGTCCTAGTTTGTCATGTATAGCTTGTGGCACAGTTGGCTGAGTTATCTATGGTGGCGCAATTCGCCCTGGAGAGTTGCATTCCAGGGACATGCCAGGAACGTGTGGGTTCTAATCCCGATTCACCCTGATTCCGTTTCTTCTGTTGTCAGTACCACACCCATGCTCATGGGTTTCACCTAAGTGGTATGTGTCTAGTACCTGCATCTATTGACTTTCCTACCCCAAAAGGGGGCGGTGGGGTAGCCTAATGGTTGAAGCGTTGGCTCGTCACGCCGAAGACCCGGGTTCGAATCCCCACATGGGTACAATGTGTGAAGCCTATTTCTGGTGTCCCCCGCCGTGATGTTGCTGGAATATTGCTAAAAGCGGCGTAAAACCAAACTCAGTCAGTCAGTCCTACCCCAAGAAGCTGTCGTGCCGTGATATAACTGGAATACAGTGGTGTTTCTCAGCTCACTCATTCTGTTATTGCTGCTTCTGATTGGCACATCAAATCCAAACCTGTCTTCTCATGACTCATTTCCCTCATCTTCTTCAAAACCTTGACCTCCTCCTACTTCCCCAATTTGCCGCTCATGCAACTTCCCTAATGACACATGTTCCTACCCTACAGGAGGTAAGACTGACAGTTGCTGTCAAACACATGGTTTTACAGCTAAGTATTTTTACTTCTCAGCTCACAACACTGACTGCTCTGCTGCTTCAACTTCTAGTGCTGGTTAGGGGTGGAATTTCTCTTACAGCTTCTTACAGTCAAACTCTGAAAAGACCCCCATTCATTACAATATTCCAAATCATTTTGAATACAAATTTTAACTGTTATCAAACTCATAAAACTGCAAATTTAAGCTTTTATATCTATATGATTTAATCTAAGAAATTAAAGAAATTAACTCTATCGTGCATTTTCCCTTCTGCATTTGGTGAAAGCCTTAATACTTTGCTGAGACGTAATACAGTACAGAGAATTCCAAATCTTACTAACATTTAACAGGTGATTGTGTTAAAACAACTTAACCAGTAGACAGATTTGCTATCCATTAATGGTTTTCTCTCTGCTTCCCACCGTAGGATGTAGCAACTAACTGCTCTAGACTGTAATACAGTGCATGATCTGAACAGGTTGTGTGACGAACCTCTTGCCTTCCACAGAGGAGCATTAGGCAGTGGCATGTAATGTCTCCTATATGACATTCCTTACAGTTCGGCTTGAGTCAACAGGTGTTGGTTAGCTCACCTTGTCACTAAACATTAGTACCGTTGGCATTACCATGGGAACCATGCTACTTGTGGATACTTGTTCCACAAAATGGTTTGTTTTGCATGATTGTATCCATTGCACTATTGATATATTTCAATGAAATATGCACCAACATTTTACTCTTAACACTTCTTGGTTCTTGTTATGGTGAATGGTTCAATCATACTTGTATTTAGCATTTTGACAAAACTATTTATCTCTTGGTGGATATTTCAACTCAACCAGGGTAAGTGATAACAGGACTTGATATGGTCAAAGATTCCATTTCATGGTGATTCTCATGCTACAGTTGTCATAAATCTGAAACCACTTCATTGTCACATATTATCTTAATATACTGGTATTGTGATACACCTGTTGTCGTTCCCCTTTGTAACCTTAGTACTTTAACATTGATATGTCATAGTGTGCTACTATAACTGTATCAAAGCAACAGTGGCTGTTGGGTCATATAGAATTGTAACTTGGGTTCAGTGGTCTCCTTGGCATAAGGTGTTAATGTAATCACTTTCATCATTGATTTTTATGGAGGAATTGGGGTTATCAGTCCAGAATATTGTTAAATGTCTAGCAGTAGTCAAAAGTGATGCATGATAGAGGTGTAACGATACAATGAAGGCATTGTATGTACCCTGATGATATGGATGCAATACAGTTTATGTCTTGATATAGTACTTATATTTCATAAGTTCATGTTCTCTACCTTTCTGCAGGTGAATCATAATCCTGAACAATTTGTTTTTAATCTCAGACAGCGAAGATGAGAGGGTGTAGGGGAGAGACATATAAACTTCAGGGCACTGTGATGATTCTGCCATTTTTATCCAGCCAGGAATTACAAGAGAATCTACATGCACTGGTTCTACAGTTTTCATTGTTATTCACATGGTTTTTACGTCAATATAATTTATAATGTAAGGTATCCTATGTATTGCGGTGCAGGAGTTGTAAATCAATGTATTGCTTAATGAGCCTCACATCTGTATTGCCGTATTGTTATACCATGAATGCATATTGGTTGTACAGGACAAATGGAGATCAGTTGACTACCACCGAAGGACTTAGGAAAGGAACTGATGCAATACCAATGCTCACATGTGATCTCCAGACACCTTTAGTGAATGTCTTCTCTGAGAGGGGCGGTGGGGTAGCCTAGTGGTTAAAGCGTTGGCTCGTCACGCCGAAGACCCGGGTTCGAATCCCCACATGGGTACAATGTGTGAAGCCCATTTCTGGTGTCCCCCGCCGTGATGTTGCTGGAATATTGCTAAAAGCGGCGTAAAACCAAACTCAGTCAGTCTGTCAGTCAGTCTTCTCTGAGATGATTTAGAACGATATATGTGATGGTGCTTTCATGAAGTGATGTGGCTCTAGAACCCGACTCACTATTTCACATACTGGTATCAGATTTCATCTGTAAAACCAGTCTTAGGTGTGCAACTGTCAGGAGCAGCCTGATATAATTGGTGTTAGCAGTTATAGCTTCCAAAGGCAGTGTGTCATAAGTTCTGATGTATAAGCTTGCATGGATTGCTTCTGTTTACTGAACTGCATGCATGATACTGGCAGTTCTGAACTCAACCTTTACTCTCTTTAAGACACATTTTACATGAGTTTACACATCATTACATTTTCCTTTCTAACTCATTTATCAGAGTTGCATAACCCAGTGATCATTACGGAACACTGTTCATACTAGTTCTCAATGAACCCAGTGTATAGTATTATGACAGTTGAGGTAGACTGCTAAATGGCATATGATTTACTTACACAGGAAGTGACAGCAAGGGAGGCTCCCGGGACCATGGTAATAACCTCTCACTTCCTGAATGATAATGATGCATTGTGGTCTGGTTTAGGGTTGTATTACCGCACACTTGAAGCTCCATGTTCCTCCACACTTAGTGTCCGCCATGTTTTGGGATAGATAGGGCTTAGTGTTTTGTTTTGGACAAGTAGTTTCCATTTGCATATCTTTCCTTACATTCCTTTCATGCCTGACAACTATTTTACCATGTTTATATAATTCATGTTTTGACACTTTTTTTACTGTACTTTTTCAAATACTTTTTACAGTTACTTTTTTCTTCTTTATTTTGATAATTGGATTATATTGGTTTGTGAATAGTTAGTGTCAAAGTTTGATGGTGGGACAAAAATCCAAAAGGACTGTATGGAGAGAACATTTAGGTATATGTTTAGCTCATCTGGATGAAGTCTTAATGAGCTTATACTGGGCTTGTTTGTCTGTATCTTGGAACTGTTGGCGTTTTAGGTAGTACCCTGTTTATCTCTCAGATATGTGCAACTTCTCAAAACTGTTAGATTTTTGTGAAGAGCTTCCTCTTCATGTCTTAATAAAATAAATTAGAACTAAACTGCTTGTTTGGAGAGATACATATGTGTAGAAATACCCATCCAGATACTGCTTGTTGCTGTAGAGCAACCTACTTTGTTGGTACTGATAGTAGTGATAACCTGGCAGGCTGGCTGAAATACCTGACAATTCTGTTCCAGATCCAGCATGTTTAAACATCATGATAGAACTAAGAAGCTATGTTTATCTCTTTTATATTTTGTGTCATTGACCTAGCAGATCCAGGGTAAAATTCCAAACTGGCAGCTTATCCAAACTGTAGTAACTAGGGGTGAAATGGTATACCGCAGTATTAATAGAACCGCGGTATTTTGCCTTTGGTTCAGCATACAGTATTGCAATATAAAAATACGGTATTTTCAGCTTTCATATCGTGATTTGATTAACCTTTTAAAACCTTTTCTAAAATTTCTAGAAATCGAAACTAAATCTATGCATTTCTTTACTAGACGGTCATTATTTTCCAGGAAGTAAGTTCTCATATACCGAACCGAAACGTACCGAACCGAAGGCCTTGTACCGCAATACGTACCATAACTCGCTAAGAGCGTACCATTTCACCCCTAGGAGTAACAGTTTAAAATATATTATATAATTATTTTTTCACCCAACTTGAACTTCCTGTATGGCTACATGGTATGTGTATAAACATACTGTCCATGATTGGATACAGTTTGACTTGTACTTCCCTATTTCACAGGCTTATGATGAAGACAGATTTGAATTTTGTATGTCAGTGTTAAGACTGAAAACAGTAGCGCAGACATGGCAACCCCTGTGAGCTACAGAGCCTTGGCTATATGTTTTCTACAAACAATCGTTTAGTAATGGTGCATGAATAATTTCCCACATTAACCTTTTACCAAGTCTCTTAACCTTTATATGTTACCACTCACGCGGTAGCCGATATACTGTACAGAGATCTCACATTGGGCCTGAGATATGTAGACTTTATATGGTTGCATGATTTGGTTCAACTATATTTATACTTGGTCCATGGGCAGTTGGATTTTCTCAGTAAGACTATGGTTTTATTGAATTGGTTGAAACACAGTTTGTTCAGTTTTAATTTGCATGACTCATCTGGTAACAGTGGTTATGGTCTCACAGTTTGCATTCAAGGTTGCTGGCATAAGTGAAGGCAATCTATAGCGATGTAATGAATAGGATATGCTCACACTACCTGGCAGAAACTCAGGATTGGAGAGGGTAGTCAAGTCTTATGGTACCTTCCAGCAATTTATATTTTTGTTTCAAACTAGTTACTTCCTGAATTAAACGCTTATGAAATGGCATCCATTTTTATCCCATAGAGAACTGTGATTGTGTAAACTGAGTTTGGTAGTTAGGTGTGATTTGATGGTCTGGAAATTGTGTTGGATAGTTGGCACAACTCAACTGTGTTAATTCCCTATTTTAGTTAAAACACAGGTAGAAAGATAAACATGATTTCCGTTTTAATTTTACTTATTTCTTTGCATGCTCCCCGACAGCTGGAGGTAGTATATTCATTCATTCATTCTTTTATTCATTCATTCATTCATTCATTCATTCATTCATTCATTCATTCATTCATTCATTCATTCATTCATTCATTCATTCATATATCACCTTTACATACATTCATCCAGCATGTGTTCATAATGTAGTAGCTCATTGCATGTTCTGGTTCATGGTGTGTGGTTATGTGTTCAGGTGAGGGTTATTGAGTTATGGTCTTATGATAAGATACCAAAGGTAGGCACATGTGATGTATGGATATTTCAGTGTCATCTTTAATTATGGGATGAAAAGGATGCTTGACATTTTTTTATGTGATAATATGTTTGTCTATGGTATTAAGATGCAACAAAGCATTGAGGAAGACTTTAGGGATAATTTTATGCTGCTAAAAGGATTTGATTCTCAAGGAGCAAATAATGCCTCACAAGTAATAATTTAACATTTATGAAATCTAGAATGCATATATATGATTGGATATAATTATTAGATTCAGAAAAAGATTTTCAAATTGTTTTGTATTAATTTTAATTAAAAGGTTGATAAAAGTATTATATGTATGGAAGTTGACACTGGTGTGGACCAAGTGTTCCTGTGTTGTATATGACAGGCAGGCTACCTCAGGTGTGGGTCTAGTGTTCCTGTGTTGTATATGACAGGCAGGGTACCTCAGGTGTGGGTCTAGTGCTCCTGTGTTGTATATGACAGATAGGGTACCTCAGGTGTGGGTCTAGTGCTCCTTTGTTGTATATGACAGGCAGGGTACCTCAGGTGTGGGTCTAGTGCTCCTGTGTTGTATATGACAGGCAGGCTACCTCAGGTGTGGGTCTAGTGCTCCTGTGTTGTATATGACAGGCAGGCTACCTCAGGTGTGGGTCTAGTGCTCTTGTGTTGTATATGACAGATAGGGTACCTCAGGTGTGGGTCTAGTGCTCCTTTGTTGTATACGACAGGCAGGGTACCTCAGGTGTGGGTCTAGTGCTCTTGTGTTGTATATGACAGATAGGGTACCTCAGGTGTGGGTCTAGTGCTCCTTTGTTGTATATGACAGGCAGGCTACCTCAGGTGTGGGTCTAGTGCTCCTTTGTTGTATTACAGGTAGGGTACCTCAGGTGTGGGTCTAGTGCTCCTTTGTTGTATTACAGGTAGGCTACCTCAGGTGTGGGTCTAGTGCTCCTGTGTTGTATATGACAGATAGGGTACCTCAGGTGTGGGTCTAGTGCTCCTGTGTTGTATATGACAGGCAGGGTACCTCAGGTGTTGGTCTAGTGCTCCGGTGTTGTATATGACAGGCAGGCTACCTCAGGTGTGGGTCTAGTGTTCCTGTGTTGTATATGACAGATAGGGTACCTCAGGTGTGGGTCTAGTGTTCCTGTGTTGTATATGACAGGCAGGGTACCTCAGGTGTTGGTCTAGTGTTCCTGTGTTGTATATGACAGGCAGGGTACCTCAGGTGTGGGTCTAGTGCTCTTGTGTTGTATATGACAGGCAGGCTACCTCAGGTGTGGGTCTAGTGCTCCTTTGTTGTATATGACAGGCAGGCTACCTCAGGTGTGGGTCTAGTGCTCCTTTGTTGTATTACAGGTAGGGTACCTCAGATGTGGGTCTAGAGCTCCTGTCTTGTATATGACAGATAGGGTACCTCAGGTGTGGGTCTAGTGCTCTTGTGTTGTACAGATAGGCAGGGTACCTCAGGTGTGGGTCTAGTGCTCCTGTGTTGTATATGACAAATAGGGTACCTCAGGTGTGGGTCTAGTGCTCCTTTGTTGTATATGACAGGCAGGGTACCTCAGGTGTTGGTCTAGTGCTCCTGTGTTGTATATGACAGGCAGGGTACCTCAGGTGTGGGTCTAGTGCTCTTGTGTTGTATATGACAGATAGGGTACCTCAGGTGTGGGTCTAGTGCTCCTGTGTTGTATATGACAGATAGGGTACCTCAGGTGTGGGTCTAGTGCTCCTTTGTTGTATTACAGGTACGGTACCTCAGGTGTGGGTCTAGAGCTCCTGTGTTGTATATGACAGGCAGGGTACCTCAGGTGTGGGTCTAGTGCTCCTGTGTTGTATATGACAGGTAGGGTACCTCAGGTGTGGGTCTAGTGCTCCTGTGTATTGTACTTGTGTTGATTGTTGCCTTCATCCAGAGATCTCACGTTCATATCAACCATTACCAGATGGCCTGCCTATGATATATATTTTCATATCATCCAGAACATGCTGCTTCATGTAGTCAGCAATCAACAGCTCAAATATAGCATACTAACTGACAAGAAAGCCATACCATATTTTCCAGCTGCTCCATAATGCATAGAAAACACTGGTCAGGCTTAGATAATACTACATATCTAGTACTCAATCCAACTCGATTAAGGATCCAGTTATCACAGTTTGGTGATGTCAGCCTGCTGGTTGAGTCATGTTCCTGAGGCCTGTCGTTCTTACCATCAGCAGCTGGTTTCTGTGGTGGAACGCACCTGTTTCTTACAGGCTGCTTTAAAGCTGTAATACTCCATGCAAAGTCATCAACTAATATTAACCTGGCCTCATTAGAGTGAGATAAGAGTTCAGGTCACTGGTTTTCTGTATATTTGAATTAAGTGTGATTTACAGTCAGTATTTTGTTTTAAAAACTGATCACTGAAACTCTATCAGTATCCAAATCATTGCTTGAATATTGTTAGAGGAGCACCGACTTCATTGTAGTAACCTTCAGCTTTCTTCACAATCTGACAATGCAAATCTATTAGATACTAAACCTCATTGAGAGCCTAGATGCAATCATACCAGGAGGCAGTATAATTGTGAATTTTTAGATTGCATATCTGTATCCTGCATTTTTGTTCCTCAGCGTCTATTTCTTCAAACCTATATAAAACCAGAAAGCAAATATGCCATAACTTGAGATAAAAAGTGAAGTTAGTCATCACCCAGTCATTATCAGCTTGTGCCTCCAACATTCAGTGCTTTCTATGTTGGCTAGTGAGTGTAGTTGTATGGTGGTGGTGGTGTTCTGTTGCTACTGATGGTGTGCCAAGACACAAGTTTCATTAGTGAAACTTGGAACCTTATACATACATATATAATATATTATTTTTTCAGTATTAGTTCAATAAGTAGCAGTAATGCAAATGTCTGTACAGGTATAATTATGGTCCTCAAGGAAAGGAGAGCAGTTGTTATGTGTATATTAACATTATTATTTTATGTGGTATTTTTTAAGAGTTTTCCATGATTTCCTTGATTTCTGTTTGTTTTATATTCATTTTGCAGACCACAAGCCAGTTGACTTTGTTTTGGGAAAAAGTTATTATGTTTGTCCTTTCCTAGGTTCCAACATAACAGATGAAGAGCTGCGTTTTGCTGAAGACAAGTTTGAAGAGTCAAAAGCCATTGCAGAAACCTCTATGTACAATGTGTTGGAAAATGAGGTTCGTAGTCTGGCATAGAGAGAGTGTTATTGAACATATGGGACTTTTTCTCAGTGATGTAGGCACACGGACAAGCTCCATTACAATATGTTTGTAGTATCTCTGTTCAGTTTCTTTTAACCTTGGTCTGTGTGTGGATTACAATTGCTGCTGAGAAACCCATGCTAGTTGTGAGAGGTGAGCTGTCTGATCAGTTGGCCAGGCATGGTGGCTTGGTGAATACTGTGTCATCGTATCCTGACAGATGGATACTGTGCTTATAATATTGATCTCTGGATTTCCTTGTCTGGACTTGATTATTGACAGGCCATTGTTGACTTTGATATTGCTGTGTTCAGCATGAAACAACAGACAACATGGGTCACTACTTTTTACTAGGGGTGTCACGATACACCAATCTCACGATACGATACGTATCACAATTTTAAGGTCACGATACGATACGTATCGCGATACATAATTTTCGTGCCTTTTCATAGCATTACCTTGCCGGCAACGTACGCGCTCGCTGATTGGTCCATCAAAATAGTCTAGCCAATCACAAAAGCTGTTAGTTTCCAACCAATTTTTTAAGTAAAGCTAGCTACATCTATTTATCGGAGCGGTCTCGTATAATTTTACTATCAAGACTTTGAAGGAGATGGATATAGCATAAAAATTTGAATCGATAAAGTTTTAAAATAGGAATCGATACATGCAAGCATGTATCGCGTATCGTATCGTCAGTAAAAATGTATCGATGCATCGATACATTCGCGTATCACGACACCCCTACCTTTTACATCACCCAAAGGACTAGAAGTCATGAGACCTTAGTGATTATGACCTTAAAACATATGGTTTTCAGCTTTTACAGTATGAGGACATGTTAAGTCTGTAAGTGGCATTTAGAAGCAATGTACATATGGGAGAGAAATTTATGGGCATCAGCATGTTTATGAAAAGGATTGTTGTATAGACTTACCCCATCATCGGGTGAATGACATTATACAGAAACCTTGTAGTTGTACATATGAGCACAACAAAAGTAATAAGATGAAAAAGGTGAAAACTTTACAAGGAAAGTCTTTTTGCAACACGGTTATTACACAACTGACTATAGTGTAATATCTAACCTGTTTGAATTGTAGGAAAGTTAATAATGTTCTGGGGTTTGAATCCTTGATTTTGATACTTTGTACACACTGTGAGTATTAACAAAGCTGCAAGTAAAATGTTTTATCATTTGAAATGGTTATTTTTTAGACTCAAATTGTGATAACTTCCTAATGTGTTACTGTCCTTAGTGACAGATATTTCTAAAAGTTAAACCAAATTTTTCTTGTCACTATATGGCTGGAATATTGCCGTTGTGACGTTAAATTTTAACTCACTCACTCGTTCAAGAAAGCTGAAATGTCTAGAACCTGCATCACTTTGGGTTTTGTCCCATGTTGTACTGACAGTGTGACATTACCAAAACTGTTCAGATCTAAACAAATCTGATTGATGGACTCGCTGTTGCAGGTGGAACAGATTGCCCAGATGGAGACATTTGTGGAAGCGCAGTTAGACTACCATAATCAGGCTATGGAGTCGCTACAGTCTCTGCTGGAGATCATCAAAGACAAGTGAGTACTGGGTCTCCAGTCAGTACTATTCATTGCCAGTACCACAGCAAATATGCAGGCTCTGTGATACATTAGGGCTTAGTCTGGAAAAATACAGGGGCCATTCCACAAATGATCTCTAAGAACAAGAGATGATGTAAGTCATTGATCAAGTATGGAAGTTACGATCTTACCAATATGGCTGCATAATTAATTGTGGATCTTGATGTCACATGAAGAACGGATATTTAAGGTGCATTGGTCATGCTGCTAGTCAAGTTGAGGATAATACTAGCGTGCACATTTTCTTGTCCTTACTGTACCAAGAGTGCTGAACTATGTTCAGTATATGTAGGGGGGCGGTGGGGTAGCCTAGTGGTTAAAGCATTCGCTCGTCACGCCGAAGGCCCGGGTTCGATTCCCCACATGGGTACAATGTGTGGCGCCCATTTCTGGTGTCCCCCGCCGTGATATTGCTGTAACAGTGCTAAAATCGGCGTAAAACCCAACTCACTCACTCACTCAGTATATGTAGGACACCCTGACATTCGAGGTTTCGATAAGTCAATACTGAAACAACAGATAGGACCTGCTTGTTTCAGGACAGTGTTGGAAACTCCTCTCTCTGAAGTGTTACCTCCTTTTGGTCACATTGGTTAACATCCCATTTGTTGCACAATTATATGATCCTTTTATCAAAGTTGTGGATTCTGTGTCGTGTGTTGCGTAGTGCCTACCCCCACACAGGCTGACATGTGATATGATATTGTACAGACGGAGTGAAGCCGCCAGCAAGCCTCGGGGAGAGCACATACCAAAACGAGTGTCCTCCTTCAGGAGAAGCGAGTCACCTTCCTCCATGTTTGACACAACCAAGAATGATAACTATGATGGCAACTCAGGGAGCTACAACTTCTCCTCAAATTTCAACCAAACAGGTAGGTCCGCAGTCAAATTAGTATTCTGAAATACATTTTCCTCAATAAGATAGTGGTCTTCAAGATTAATGTATGATGTATTATACAGAATATTTTTTATTAGAGACAGTTTGTGCCACACAGTGTTACTGGATGTTGATCAAGGGGCATAAGACCATACACACTGACTCCTGGCACAGAACGCCATCTCGCACCCTACTGAACTGTTCGTCACTGTCCATGCTAACCATTATAACAGTATTCCCACAACGGGCCACATGTCATAGAGCTGTGGTGACCACTCACTCGCACCCTACTCAACTGTTCCTCTCTGTTCATACTAACCATTATAACAGTATACACACAACGGGCCACATGTCATAGAGCTGTGGTGACCACTCACTAACACCCTACTCAACTGTTCCTCTCTGTTCATACTAACCATTATAACAGTATACACACAACGGGCCACATGTCATAGAGCTGTGGTGACCACTCACTCGCACCCTACTGAACTGTTCCTCTCTGTTCATACTAACCATTATAACAGTATACACAACAGGACACATGTCATAGAGCGGGCCACATGTCATAGAGCTGTGGTGACCACTCACTCGCACCCTACCTGTTCCTACTGAACTGTTCCTCTCTGTTCATACTAAACCATTATAACAGTATTCCAACAACGGGCCACATGTCATAGAGCTGTGGTGACCACTCACTCGCACCCTACTCAAACTGTTCCTCTCTGTTCATACTAACCATTATAACAGTATTCCCATGTCATAACGGGCCACATGTCATAGAGCTGTGGTGACCACTGTGGTTCCTCTCTGTTCATACTAACCATTATAACAGTATTCCATCTGTGGTGACCATCTCTCCACACCCTACTGAACTGTTCCTCTCTGTTCATACTAACCATTATAACAGTATACACACAACGGGCCACATGTCATAGAGCTGTGGCGACCATCTCACACCCTACTCAACTGTTCATCAATGTCCATGCTAACCATTATAACAGTATTCCCACAACGGGCCACATTTCATAGAGCTGTGGTGACCACTCACTCGCACCCTACTCAACTGTTCTTCTCTGTCCATGCTAACCATTATAACAGTATACACACAACGGGCCACATGTCATAGAGCTGTGGTGACCACTCACTCGCACCCTACTGAACTGTTCCTCTCTGTTCATACTAACCATTATAACAGTATACACACAACGGGCCACATGTCATAGAGCTGTGGTGACCACTCACTCGCACCCTACTGAACTGTTCATCTCTGTGTCATACTAACCATTATAACAGTATAACAGTATACAACAAGGGGCCACATGTCATAGAGCTGTGGTGACCATCTCACACCCTACTGAACTGTTCCTCTCTGTTCATACTAACCATTATAACAGTATACACACAACGGGCCACATGTCATAGAGCTGTGGTGACCATCTCACAACCTAGTCAACTGTTCATCTCTGTCCATGCTAACCATTATAACAGTATACACACAATGGGCCACATGTCATAGAGCTGTGGTGACCACTCACTCGCACCCTACTGAACTGTTCCTCTCTGTCCATGCTAACCATTATAACAGTATACCCACAACGGGCCACATGTCATAGAGCTGTGGTGACCATCTCACACCCTACTGAACTGTTCCTCTCTGTTCATACTAACCATTATAACAGTATACACAATAACAATACACACAACGGGCCACATGTCATAGAGCTGTGGTGACCATCTCACTCGCACCCTACTGAACTGTTCCTCTCTGTCCATGCTAACCATTATAACAGTATACACACAACGGGCCACATGTCATAGAGCTGTGGTGACCATCTCACAACCTACTCAACTGTTCATCACTGTTCATGCTAACCATTATAACAGTATACACACAACGGGCCACATGTCATAGAGCTGTGGCGACCATCTCACAACCTAGTCAACTGTTCATCTCTGTCCATACTAACCATTATAACAGTATACACACAACGGGCCACATGTCATAGAGCTGTGGTGACCATCTCACAACCTAGTCAACTGTTCATCTCTGTCCATGCTAACCATTATAACAGTATACACACAACGGGCCACATGTCATAGAGCTGTGGTGACCACTCACTCGCACCCTACTGAACTGTTCATCTCTGTCCATGCTAACCATTATAACAGTATACACACAACGGGCCACATGTCATAGAGCTGTGGTGACCACTCACTCGCACCCTACTGAACTGTTCCTCTCTGTTCATGCTAACCATTATAACAGTATACACACAACGGGCCACATGTCATAGAGCTGTGGTGACCATCTCACACCCTACTGAACTGTTCCTCTCTGTTCATACTAACCATTATAACAGTATACACACAACGGGCCACATGTCATAGAGCTGTGGTGACCACTCACTCGCACCCTACTGAACTGTTCATCTCTGTCCATGCTAACCATTATAACAGTATACACACAACGGGCCACATGTCATAGAGCTGTGGTGACCACTCACTCGCACCCTACTGAACTGTTCCTCTCTGTCCATGCTAACCATTATAACAGTATTCCCACAACGGGCCACATGTCATAGAGCTGTGGTGACCACTCACTCGCACCCTACTGAACTGTTCCTCTCTGTTCATACTAACCATTATAACAGTATACACACAACGGGCCACATGTCATAGAGCTGTGGTGACCATCTCACACCCTACTGAACTGTTCCTCTCTGTTCATACTAACCATTATAACAGTATACACACAACGGGCCACATGTCATAGAGCTGTGGTGACCATCTCACACCCTACTCAACTGTTCATCACTGTCCATGCTAACCATTATAACAGTATACACACAACGGGCCACATGTCATAGAGCTGTGGTGACCACTCACTCGCACCCTACTGAACTGTTCCTCTGTCCATGCTAACCATTATAACAGTATACACACAACGGGCCACATGTCATAGAGCTGTGGTGACCACTCACTCGCACCCTACTCAACTGTTCATCTCTGTCCATGCTAACCAGGTTATGAAGGCTTCGATGCCTTTGATGAGTTCGAAGGTGAGTTTAGTCAGTAGCCTCCATGTCCCACTCATGCATGTGTTGTTCTCATGTCCTAGTTAGTTCACCAACAGTGTTGTTGCCACTGTTGTTACAGATAGTGCAGATACATGTACATGCATGTAGGTTTGCATGAGCTTCTTTTCACCTTACATTTGGAATTTTCTCACACAAAAGGTCCTTGGGTAATTTGATGATTGAAAGGATATTTTCCCTAATGTTGTTCGATGAAACCCAGGCATATCAATAAGTCATTTTATGTAACTTTTTCGGTGAAACAGTTCAGTCTGTCTGGTATAGTTGATGAATATAAAGGCCCAGCATTGTTAACTGGCAGCACTGTTTGTTGTGGCCAAGCCCAAGCAGACCTATAGGCTAAAATCATATCCTTTTACTCCATTCAGTAAAATGTTTGGGGTGGGGTTGTTGTTGTTGTTTTTTATTTATTTATATATATATTTTTTAATTTGAACTTTTTATCATTATGGTCCTTTGAAATGTATAAAATACTGCATGAATTATGTGTTCTTGTTCAAGCAGTGAATTATCACACATGCAATTGGTTATATGCCCGCATCTTCTCCAGTCCTGTATGCATACTGGCCAATCGATGTAGTCAGTGATATTGCCAACTAGAGAGGTACCCTCAGGTGGTATAAAAATGCAGAGAAACCCTGATAAGCGACATACCATTTGCAGTGAAATTGTCATGATGATCACATTTCAAGTGAAATTGTCATGATGAACACATTTCCATGTTAACTAATAATCATCAGTATGACCCTCTTTGTTCATTGAAATTGTAGCCTGATGGCTAAAGCACTCAATATCAAAGACCCGAAATTGTCACATGGGCACAGTGTGTGAAGCATTTCTGGTGTCCCCCGCCGTGATGTTGCTGGAATATTGCTAAAAGCGGCATAAAACCAAACTCAGTCAGTCAGTCAGTCTTTGTTCATCTTGATGTTCCCAATAGTAAGTGTGAGGAAGCCAGGTTTTCTGGACTAGCAGGATGTAACCATGTAACTGTTTTCATGGTCAGCAGCCATTTGTTTCAACCAGCAGAGATGATATGTTCATAATATGTTCTACACAACTCTTGAATGTGAGAGCCCTTATGATGTTGATACATGTTCATCATAAACATCCTACTGTAACTCTATCTGTAGAGAAACGCAGAGGATTCCATGTGATAGAGTGTAAGTTGATACATTCCTTCCTTGCCTAAAGAACTCAGCAACAGTAACTGTATCTTCGCTTGCTTTACTCTGATAACATAACGAGACTAGCCGTGTCCCTGCCCGTAGGATTTGCCAACTAGTGAACATTCATCCTTCATTCGTCTGTCTCAGGACAAAAAACCATATCATTTCTTCCCTGTTTGATCAGTAAGACCTGAGAAGATGTTGATTGAATGATCACAAGCCATTGCCTTAAAGGACATTAGTTTTTTTTGTATTTTATGTAGTTGTTTTTAATCAATGATGTTTTAATCATGATGGAATATTTTGAACAACAAAGTAAGCATGTATGCATGTATTAATCTTTCTTTTGGATTCAAGCATAGGAGTTGTAAAATTGTTACAAGGGCTAATGTTTTGCTTACCTGTCATTGTATGATTCTATACCTTTCTTTGATTACTTTCTAATTTCTTTTTCCTCTGAATTGTTTTCCAATCTGTGGCCAGTATTGCAAATTTCAGTGTTAGTTTCCAGCACTTAAGTGTGCAGGCCTGCATGTCCAGACTCTTACAAGTCCTCCGGTTTGGTTTATTTGTGATGTTATTTTATCACTATCATAGTTAAGTTTATCTTTAGTCTATGTTGTATTCCGTCCCACCTGGCTGAGCATTGTTATACATGAGGTCACTCCTAGGGGTCACCAGGTGATTGAGGTCAGCACTTTGACCTGATTGTTATCTCAGCTGTTTGGTCCAGTTTAGCATGCTGTGCACTTCAGTATACCTTTCTCACTCACTTCTCAAGATTAAAGTAATTTTATTCACAAGTATGTGTTGTAAATAGACACCAAATTGCTTTTGCAGATGCCATTTTGTTAGAAAATAAATTTATCTCTTTGAGATTCGGCAAGTGCTTGTAATGATGTTTCTGACCTTTCGTCATGCAGTATTCTCCCCTGTTGTTTCCTGATACAGACTCAGACACGCTATGCACATTACCTTTGCCCAGCAACATGCTCTTGTTTGTCAGTCTCAGATGCTATCAGAGTAAACTGTGCCTGCTCTTCCTCTTGCTAGTCTGCTGTCCGTACTGTTTGCATGCCCTGCACATCACCTTTTGATGTCAACTTCTCTATTCTTTACCAGTGCTAGAACCATTTAGAAGCACATTTCAGTGCAGGTGCTAGAACATTTATCAGAAACATTGGTAAAGGTGCTTTTGATTACTTAATGAAGTACCAGCATCTGTATTGAAATGTTGTAGAGAAAGGATAAAGAAGTTATAAACATCAATGCAACTTTCTAAATGCCATTACTAAAGACACAATATTTCCTGTCTGTTTACTCCTATCACTGTTTGTTGTTGTTTGGCGTTGAAAATTGTATTGTATGGTTCCTGTTGTATAATAATGCTGACAAGAAATAAGGGAAACCCAAGTATATTTTCAAAGATGTTGAAAACTATTGCCAATTGCTCAGCCATTTCCACAAATTTAATATGCAAGTATGTAATATTGCAGAATAACATGTAACATGATGTTCACGTCTGTTCTAGCTGTGGTGTCTTTCAAATTCTAACCATTATTCATGGCAGCCATCATTTGTTCATTTGTCAAGCCTGCTTTAACAGGCTGTATGTTTCTATTTCATCACAGAATGTTTAGGTCAGATAACTGGAACCAGACAATTTTGTTAGGTTTTCAGTGACACCATTTGTCAAGTATTCTTCAATAACAATTCACTCCTGTGTACATTATGCTATTCACTAAACACAGAGCAATGTACTTGATACTAATTCATGGTGTTGGATTATATCACGATTATTTCAGCTATATATTTGACCTCATGTATAATAATGTTTGCTGAGATGTAATGGGACAACCTGTAGTCAAGTAACCCTGATGGTGCTATCAGCACAGCAAGTTGGTCATATGATTTCTTGTTAGTGTGTAATACTTCAACATGTGCTTGACCTGCTGGCTACCAAGGAGGGACATTTGAAGTGTCAGAATTGGAAATGTATTTGTGATATATAAAACTGAACATCTAGCTATATCACATGTTACTGTGTACTGCATGACATTAATCTCCTGTTAACAACAGCTATTATTTTGTGTTGTTATGGATCCCTGTGAGATCTGCCTGTATGTATTGCTGCAAACACATGAAGTCAGACAGTGGTCCCATGAAGGTCACAGTTAGAATTGGTCCTCATCAACCTATTCTTGTCGTAAGAAGCGACTGACAAAATTGGCTGTCTCAGACTTTCTGACTTCGATGATACATGTCAGCAATTTATGTAGATTGATTCTCATGATGTCAGTAACTAGATAGCTTGGTCCAAACTAGATTATGTACAGGCACCTACCATACAGTTTGGGTATTGTTCAGTGAAGCTTTAACAAAAACCAAAACAATATTTAATTTGTGTTGTAGGCCCTTCACGTTCCCAGCCATGTGCGGAGGCCATGTACGACTTCATCCCAGAGAATGAAGGAGAGCTTGGCTTCAGTGAAGGACAGGTCATCACTCTGCTGACACAGATAGACGAGAACTGGTTCGAAGGATCTGTTGATGGACGAACAGGATTTTTCCCAGTAAACTATGTTGAAGTGCGAACACCACTGCCCTAAATCTGCATTCCAAAGTGGGTTGTCTCCCTTGACTCAGCTTGCCACCTCCACACAGATCGACAACCTTGTGACCAAAGTTTTCTTGATTGTCTGTCTAACTACAAACTAGTTGTGTGTGACAGTTAATTGATTGGATGCTACAAATATAGATGACAAGTTGTAAACTGTTGATATGCTTATTTGATGACAATACCTACCATCCAAGTCACTTTTACTGTATAATTCAGTCACTGATTGTGTACAAGAGGAATATACATATCACAACAATAGCTGAGGATGAAATCTCTCAGCATTCCAGGTGGGTGAAGTAGAGGGAAGAGAGATAACTCACTAAACACCTGAGTCAGTCTCAAGGACCCAGCTAGAATCATCCTTTCTATTCAGATTAGTATTGAACTAGAGTGTACACAGATTGGCCTCGTAGGCGTATATTGTCTCGTATGTACCAACTAGTTAGGACAATATGATGTTTGGGTAGATGTATAGCTTCACTTTACCAACATATTTGGTGCTATACCCTCTGCTTTTAATATCAACTTAATGTGGATTGAGGTAATCGCTATCCGGCAGTGGTCATTGTTAAATAAGGTTTTGTTTCTAGAAACCTCAAATTATTTGTTGATTTTAACAATTGACATGTTATTGTATTTTTTACAGTGAGAATGAACATCTTGTGAACAACATTGATTTCCTGTAATATTTATGTTGAATCATAATGAAATGTATTGAGTGTGAAAGACTTTGTTTGTTTTATTCCCTGTATCAACTTTGGTTCAGTGGTTAGACATGAAGTGTCCTACACCAGTGTTTTCATCGGTCACTGTCAGTCTCACACATACAAAGCTTTCTTTCTGAGTTTGTTTACATACAAACATCAATTCATAATTCAGTCATACAACATAATCATTTAATGACTGCATGTTAAAATTACCTCATCACAACTCTTTCTGGTAGTTCTCGATCACAAAGCAAGAAACAGTTCACGTCAGTCTACAGAAGTTATCTCCCTTTGGTCAAGCCCCTGACCCATGAATGTGCTGTGTAGGTGACATTGTGCATATGTGTCAACATTTCAAACTTACCATGGACTAATCTAACTACGTACACTACCATTATCTGTGGCAATTTGGGGAGAAACAATGTTTGCAATTATAGAATGTATTTATATTTTCTTAATTTTTTCTGTTTTGATAAATTGAATGATTATTGTAGGTAACTGGTTTACCTAGCTTTCCTGTACATATTCTGTTACCGTTCTTTGCTATGTCAGCTGTTCCCGGATGAGCCTGTCCCACAAACAAATATAAATGAACTTTGGTGACACTTATATAAAATTTCCTCAGTATCTGTTAGAGAAACATCTGAGTTATTCCAGATTATATACTTGTCATTTGGGGAAAAAAACACATAAATATTACAGGAATCTTTTGAAAGTCATATGTGGCCTATCTGTGAATAAAATGGTTTTAACACAAAACCACTTTGATCTACAGCAAGGTAGCCAACATCCTACCTGTCATAGATAAATCATTTGTGTTATAAAGAGCAGGTAACTGATTTCGTGTTGCCTTGGTAATAAATGATCTTGTCGCCAAACCCAGTTCATGTCACCACACTGTCCAACATTGGGGCATATGCTCAGGGTTCACATGGAAGCACTACACTATGGAAGCAAGCAGGTCACACAGCCTCACACCAAATATTAGTGGAAATGTTCTTTCTCTGTCACAACTCTTTACAAGATATTTCTTTCTTTGAAATAGGATCAAGTTATTTCCATTCTGAACCCTATAAACAGTCCCAGCTCCAACATTTGGGTGCTGATCTTGGTAGATACAGAAATTCACACATCATCTCTGTTTAATCTGAAACAGTATTTCCTGGTAGAATGATACATGTCATCAAATTTGAGTTGGTAATCAAACATGGAAAATACATGACCAAGCTTATAAGCCTGTTTTGTGAATCAGTATGTTATGAACATGTGTTATCAGCTGTGTAGTGACTATTATGTGTGGTTACTGCTCCTGTGTGATTGGTTTATCACAGGAAGCTATGTATGTGTGCACACAATGTTAGGATGCCTGTAGCTTAGTGTGTAGGATGCTTATAGTGGGGCATGAGGGAACAACCATTTCATATTTTTGGACAGTCCCAATATTTGTCAAAGGTGGAATATTTTCTTTGTCAGTGATTCAGAACATACAATTGTTACTTTGTATAATGTTATTATACATTGAGGAAGCCCAGCAAGTCCAGCAGAATATCTATATATTAGTGTGGCATTTTCTGGAACTTATTGAATCCTTGAATATGAAATGGTCAATCCCTTAAGCACCGTGTGGGAAGTGAGAGTGAGAGAAGGCTTCTTCATACACAGATTGGTTGAGTTTAGAAATCTTGTTGATGTTATCATTACATATGTTATCAGTTGTTATTTCCCTCAACTGTTTCTGACAAATGGAGCTGTGGTAAATCCCTCCCAAATTAATAGTATTTGAGATCATTGCTTGTATATCATGCCAGGTATGTCTACTGGTAAACAACTACAATTCAGTTTTTTCTTTCATGAAACAGGGACATCATTCGTAGGTTGGTGTACATCCCAGAAATGTGTGACTAACTGACAGTGTAGCTCAACAATGTTTGTGTAAATAACATCTGTGTATATAGCCTCCCTTATTGACTTCACAAGGCTTGCAGCTTCAATCACATAATGTCGGCAGTCAATTAATGGCATAGAGGTTTCACCTCTATATCAGCTCAAACTACCTTGTATTTGTTTCGTTAGTTTTCTCAGTCTTGGTCCATAAACAAATGCTTGTAAATGAAATTTAAAGAAATGACAGCTGAAATAGTGACTGGTATGGTTAATTGGAGAGAGATATGTCTGTGTTGTGAATACTGGGAAGATTGAGAATCGGGGGTAGATGATATTTCCAGCCATTGGATAGGTATCTTAAGAGATGGTAGAAGGCTGGTGTGCTCCTCTACATTTCCACTTCCTGGTTAATTTTTGTCCCAGATGCTATATATCACATGTGTACTGTACCTGTGGTCTACTTGGATAACACCTGTACTGTACCTGTGATCTACATGTATAACACCTGTACTATACCTGTGATCTACATGTATAACACCTGTACTGTACCTGTGATCTACATGTATAACACCTGTTCTGTACCTGTGATCTACATGTATAACACCTGTACTATACCTGTGATCTACATGTATAACACCTGTACTATACCTGTGATGTACATGTATAACACCTGTATTATACCTGTGATGTACATGTATAACACCTGTTCTGTACCTGTGATCTACATGTATAACACCTGTACTGTACCTGTGATCTACATGTATAACACCTGTACTGTACCAGTGATATACAAGCATAACACCTGTTCTGTACCTATGATCTACATGTATAACACCTGTGCTGTACCTGTGATCGACATGTATAACACCTGTTCTATACCTGTGATCTACATGTATAATACCTGTACTGTACCTGTGATCTACAAGTGTAACACCTGTACTGTACCAGTGATATACAGGCATAACACCTGTTCTGTACCTGTGATCTACATGTATAACACCTGTACTCTACCTGTGATCAACATGTATAACACCTGTACTGTATCTGTGATCTACACGTATAATACCTGTACTGTACATGTGTAACACCAGTACTGTACCTGTGACCTACATGTGTAACACCTGTACTCTACCTGTGATCTACATGTATAACACCTGTACTGTACCTGTGATGTACATGTGTAACACCTGTACTCTACCTGTGATCTACATGTATAACACCTGTACTGTACCTGTGATCTACATGTATAATACCTGTACTGTACCTGTGATGTACATGTGTAACACCAGTACTGTACCTGTGACCTACATGTGTAACACCTGTACTGTACCTGTGTTCTACATGTGTAACACCTGTACTGTACCTGACCTACATGTGTAAAACCTGTACTGTACCTGTGATCTACATGTGTAACACCTGTACTGTACCTGTGATCTACATGTATAACACCTGTACTATACCTGTGATCTACATGTGTAACACCTGTACTCTACCTGTGATCTACATGTATAACACCTGTACTGTACCTGTGATCTACACGTATAATACCTGTACTGTACCTGTGATGTACATGTGTAACACCAGTACTGTACCTGTGACCTACATGTGTAACACCTGTACTGTACCTGTGTTCTACATGTGTAACACCTGTACTGTACCTGTGACCTACATGTGCAACACCTGTACTGTACCTGACCTACATGTGTAAAACCTGTACTGTACCTGTGATCTACATGTGTAACACCTGTACTGTACTTGTAATCTACATGTACTATACAGGGACTGCCTGTTATCTACATGTATAACACCTGTACTGTACCTGGGAACTTCATATATCACAACTGTTCTGTACCAGTATTGTACATATACTACACACGTACTCTACTGTACCTGTGATCTACATGTACCACACCTGTATCTGTGTTCTGTTTGAGCTGTGATCTGAGGTTGTAACATGTGGTTGCTGGCAGCCATTATGTCACCACTACCTGGCAACATAGCATTGTATGAGGATATCACCCACACTATACAGGCTTGTAGCAATTCTCTCATTATGCAATCACTTATGTATAGGTATTCATTGCCTTTTTTGTTAATTGATGTTTTTTGACATAAATATTTATGCTGAATTGTTTTGGAAGAGCTCTCTCTCTAACATGCAACATATGTTCAGAACCGTTTGGGACAAATGTTGATAACATGGTAGAGTTATGTATTCCTTGACTATCTGAGCATGGGATGTAGAGATAGGTACGGTCTTTTCCATAGCCATGAGCCCTAACCTGCTCATAAACATTCATATTGGAGGGTTTTACATGGAACTTTGAATTTATGACATAGTCTCTTGAAACACCTGAATATCAATTTCTCTGATTAAAAATGTTTAAAAAATATGTTGTGTTGTTTGTCTATTTTCATGTGTTACATGTCTTGACACAGACTTCCTGGGGACATTGACTAGGAAGTAGTTTTATGTTTACGTGGAAATATGGCTGACAAGATGTCTTACTGGTATGTGTAAATGTTTACCCCATCATGTGATTTTATCGAAACACCAGATTCCACCACCCAGCTGCAGGTAGGGATTCCACCACCCAGCTTCATCTATCCAGCTGCAGGTAGAGATTCTACCACCCAGCTTCTTCTACCCAGCTGCAGGGAGAGATTCTACCACCCAGCTTCATCTACATAGCTGCAGGTAGAGATTCTACCACCCAGCTTCATCTACCCAACTGCAGGTAGAGATTCCACCACCCAGCTTCATCTACCCAGCTGCAGGTAGAGATTCCACCACCCAACTTCATCTACATTGCTGCAGGTAGAGATTCTACCACCCAGCTTCATCTACCCAACTGCAGGTAGAGATTCCACCACCCAGCTTCATCTACATGGCTGCAGGTAGGGATTCTACCACCCAGCTTCATCTACCCAGCTGCAGGTAGAGATTCTAACACCCAGCTTCATCTACCCAGCTGCAGGTAGAGATTCTACCACCCAGCTTCATCTACATGGCTGCAGGTAGGGATTCTACCACCCAGCTTCATCTACTCAGCTGCAGGTAGAGATTCCACCACCCAGATTCATTTACATAGCTGCAGGTAGGGATTCTACCACCCAGATTCATCTACCCAGCTGCAGGTAGAGATTCCACCACCCAGCTTCATCTACCCAGATTCTGCTTCATCTACATGTGCAGATTCCACCACCCAGATTCATCTACATAGCTGCAGGTAGGGATTCTACCACCCAGATTCATCTACCCAGCTGCAGGTAGAGATTCCACCACCCAGCTTCATCTACATGGCTGCAGGTAGGGATTCTACCACCCAGCTTCATCTACCCAGCTGCAGGTAGAGATTCCACCACCCAGCTTCATTTACCCAGCTGCAGGTAGAGATTCCACCACCCAGATTCATCTACCCAGCTGCAGGTAGAGATTCCACCACCCAGCTTCATCTACCCAGCTGCAGGTAGAGATTCCACCACCCAGATTCATCTTGCAGGTAGAGATTCCACCAGCTGCTGCAGGTAGAGATTCTACCACCCAGCTTCATCTACCCAGCTGCAGGTAGAGATTCCACCACCCAGCTTCATCTACCCAGCTGCAGGTAGAGATTCCACCACCCAGCTTCATCTACCCAGCTGCAGGTAGAGATTCCACCACCCAGCTTCATCTACCCAGCTGCAGGTAGAGATTCCACCACCCAGCTTCATCTACCCAGCTGCAGGTAGAGATTCCACCACCCAGCTTCATCTACCCCCAGCTGCAGGTGCAGGTAGATTCCACCACCCAGCTTCATCTACCCAGCTGCAGGTAGAGATTCTACCACCCAGCTTCATCTACCCAGCTGCAGGTAGAGATTCCACCACCCAGATTCATCTACCCAGCTGCAGGTAGAGATTCTACCACCCAGCTTCATCTACCCAGCTGCAGGTAGAGGATTCTCTACCCACCCAGCTTCATCTACCCAGCTGCAGGTAGAGATTCCACCACCCAGCCACCCAGCTGCAGGTAGAGATTCTACCACCCAGCTTCATCTGCCCAGGCAGGTAGAGATTCCACCACCCAGCTTCATCTACCCACCACCCAGCTGCAGGTAGAGATTCTACCACCCAGCTTCATCTACCCAGCTGCAGGTAGAGATTCCACCACCCAGCTTCATCTACCCAGCTGCAGGTAGATTCCACCACCCAGCTTCATCTACCTGCACCCACCCAGCTTCATCTACCCAGCTGCAGGTAGAGATTCCACCACCCAGCTTCATCTACCCAGCTGCAGGTAGGGATTCTACCACCCAGCTTCATCTACCCAGCTGCAGGTAGAGATTCCACCACCCAGATTCATCTACCCAGCTGCAGGTAGGGATTCCACCACCCAGCTTCATCTACCCAGCTGCAGGTAGAGATTCCACCACCCAGCTTCATCTACCCAGCTGCAGGTAGAGATTCCACCACCCAGCTTCATCTACCCAGCTGCAGGTAGAGATTCCAGCTTCACCCAGCTTCATCTATCTACCCAGCTGCAGGTAGAGATTCCACCACCCAGATTCATAGCCTAGCTGCAGGTTAAAGCGTCTACTCACCCAGATTCATCTACCCAGACCGCAGGTAGAATTCCCCACCCAGATTCATCTGAGCTGCAGGTAGATTTCTGGTGTCCCCACCCAGTGATATTGCTGGAATATTGCTTCATCTACCCAGCTGCAGGTAGAAACCAAACTCAGTCAGTCAGCTCAGTCAGAGATTCCACCACCTTCAGCTTCATCTACCCAGCTGCAGGTAGAGATTCTACCACACAGCTTCATCTATCCAGCTGCAGGTAGATATTGACATGCTTTGAAATCACATATGGTAGAGTATATTTAAATTGTGGACAAAAGACAAAATATCGGGGATGCCATTAATGGGCTTCACCCATTTCACTCATGTGGAGAATCAAAGCCAGGCCTTGGCATGATAAGAAAGTGCTTTAAGCACTGAGCCTCCCCAATACCCACTCCATACCCAGCTACTCAGTAAACTTGTACCCAACTGGAGATTCCCACCGGGCGGTGGGTAGCCTAGTGGTTAAAGCGCTTGGCTCGTCCATGAAGACCCGGGTTCAATCCCCACATGGGCACAATGTGTTAAGCCCATTTCTGGTGTCCCCCGCCGTGATATTGCTGGAATATTGCTAAAAGCGGCGTAAAACTTAACTCAGTCAGTCAGTCAGTCAGTCAGTCAGTCAGTCAGTAAACTTGTATGCTATCTGAAATCATGGCACAGGCTGGATGTGCATGCATGTATTAAAATTCATGTGGTTGGACAAAAATGTAAAGTTTTACAGTTTGAAAAAAATGAAATCCCAACTAAACTTGAGACTTAAATTAGGATGGATTAGGTAACTGAAAACTTATCTCAATGATATGAAGCAATTAATTATTACAGATTGGGGTAGTATGTAACAAAGCAGGCGATTTGTGACACCTGATCGAAATATTGAAGCAAGTTAGTTGATTGATCCTACGAGAGCCAGTTGGATCTGAACTGTTGTCCGCTTCATTTCAATATCAGGTCCGAGTGATGATCCATTTAGCTTGGAAGAATGTCAAGAGGATCCAACGGTCGGTCAGTCCCTCCCTCAACTCAACAGAGGAGATGGGTGGCACTGTCTTCTCAGGTCCTACATTAAAGATGTGCCAGAAACCTATGATGGTGTTTTTGGTATCAGATTTGACCTGATTAATGTTCAGATTGCACATGTGTTTCACCAAAATGTTGAACCTATGAGACTTACATTGCTTGGGCATTTCCTCCCACATGAGTGAGTGAGTGAGTTTAGTTTCATGCCGCACTCGGCAATATTCCAGCTATATGGCAGCAGTCTGTAAACAATTGAATCTGGACCAGTGATCAACAGCATGAGCATTGATCTACACAACTGGGAACCGATGACATGTGTCAACAAAGTCAGCGAGCCAGACAACCCGATCCCATTAGTCGCCTCTTGCGACAAGCATGGGTTACTGAAGACCGATTCTAACCCCGATCTTCACGGGTCTCCTCCCACATGCGGCTACCACACCACGATATATAAGTCAAATACTTCAGATGGCCGGTAGCTCAGCCTGCTTGCTGCTTGTATCATAGACTAGTTATAACCTTCGTATTACTAGTTATTTTGGTGAGTTTTCAAACTTATAGGAGATAAAAGATTAGAGATAGCACAGAAATTATATACTTAGTCAAAAAAGAAACTTCACATTCTTTCTTCAGGGCACTATAAAAGAACAAGAGATGGTAAGATGGTTAAATTGTTTTTATTTCATTGCTGAGATCTGTGTGATGTACTCGATACACTGACAGTGCAATAATCAGTTCCATTAGGCTACACCGCCGTTCCAAAACATGGGTATACAGAATGTCAAGTCACAAGAATAAAAATGCGAAATTTCTCAGTTCAATATCGTGTATGGCCGCCCCACGCATTCACCACTGCCAAACACCGTCTCTCTCATCGACTGCCTGATGCTTGTGAACACGTGGTTGGGGATTCTGCACCATTGCTCTTGCAAGGCAGCCAAGTTCCTGCAAATTTTGAGGTTGGTTCCTAAGACAACGAAGCCTTCTCCCAAGTGCATCCCAAACGTGCTCTATTGGATTAAGGTCAGGGGACCTCGATGGCCAGTCCATGACGTTGATTCCAGCGCTTTGAAGGAAATTTCGTGGTCAACATTGCGGTATCGCGGCCGAGCATTATCATGCTGGAACTGTAGACCTGGGCCATGAGCCGCCATGAAAGGAACGAGTTCAGGGGTGAGCACCTGGTCGCGGTAAGCAGCCGCTGTGAGGTTTCCACGGATGACCAGAAGTCGGGAACGGTTGTTCCCACAGAAAGCACCCCACACCATGCAACTTCCGCCCCCGAATCTGTCGACTTCCTGTACACAACATTGGGCATACCGTTCACGACGTCGTCTCCAGACTCTATGCCTGCCGTCCGCGAATCTGAGGGTAAACCTGGATTCATTGCTAAAGACGACTCGATTCCAGTCTCTCTGGGTCAATCGGAGGTGACGTTGGGCCCACAGCAGACGTTGACGTTGATGAAACGGCACGTTCACGTTGCACATTTGACAATCGTGGCATTGCAAGTACCGTTAGAACTGTGGTTTAAAAGTGTTTTTTCAATTCTTGAGGCCAATGCAAACACGTGCATATGAAGAAAACTTCGATGCGAAGATCACGTGATCCACTGCACGTGCAAAACCTGATTTGGCACTAATACTCCTAGGCCAAATGTAGAGATAACATCATTATCAGGTAATATGATACACCAGGCCTTATCATCCATACTGCATATCCTGATCATGTAGAACACCAGTGCTTGTCATCGTCCATTAAACCATGCGGTTAATGCTCATGAAGTTGGTCTATGAACATGTGGACACTGTTTCAACAGCGGTGTGTGTGTGTGTGCGTGCGTGCGTGCGTGCGTGCGTGCGTGCGCGGCGTGCGTGTAATCCTTGTTTGTTTTCAGCAACCTGATACATTCTGTGTCTAGTTCAACATTGACAAGAATCTTTGGAGGGTGGGAGTTGTCATACCAATTACTGGATAACGCTTTTACTGCTGCTGAGAGATCCTAAAAGATAGGGACTTTTCTAACATTTGGCCTAGGATTACTAACGTCATTTGCGAGTCGAAAGATAGGGATCCCATTTCGGATACATAGATGTATCATCAGAGAAAAATTATTCATTATTTTTCAAATTACATTTTGTGAAGTTTCTTTTTTGACTCAGTATAAAACAACAAGCAAACATATTTTCTGTCTAACAAATATCTTGTTACTGGCTTGTTGGACCATGTTTTCTTATACTGGTTTACACCACCCGAGGCTTTCTCTTGTTCACGATTCGCAGTATTTGGGAAGAAACATGGCCAGAATAATTGATGAATTAAAGATTTGTATGAACATCAGCATTTCAAAAGTTACCTATTTGACATTTTGCAGCTTACAGTGAAAATCGATATTTTAAATAAACCAAGCATCCTGAACTGGACAACTTTACACCTGGAAAATAATACACACCCACTTCCATGTCAAATAACTATTCTGATAAAAGGGATCAGTATGTATTTTGTGACAAGATATAGGTTTTTTCTACAAACTTAACACATATAATATAGAAATATCATATATATTTGTGCTTGTTTTGAGGGCAGATATTGAAAACCATCCAGTAGTCTCACCAAACTTGGCACATATATAGGTTCTGTTATGTACTGATGCCTAAGCCTTTGATAGTTGGGATTTGTTAAGATTTTATATTTTTAGTTTCCATGGCAACATCTTTTACTTTGGCTGGAAAAGGGTGTGGTGGTTGTGTCCAGTGCAGATCTTGAAAACCAGGCAATATTTCTTCACCAACAGGCAAACAGATAGTTCTACTTTTGTTATATATAATTTCTCTGTGTTTTACCTGCACCATATACCTTACCCTGGTAATTCAACTGTCAGGTGTGCCTGTATTACAATGCTGCCTGCTGCCATTCATTGTATTCACATGAACACATCGTACAATACACAAAGATGCACACTATTCTAAGCCTTCACAATGATGAGTGAGTGAGTGAGTGAGTTTAGTTTTACGCCGCACTCAGCAATATTCCAGCTATATGGCGGCGGTCTGTAAATAATCGAGTCTGGACCAGACAATCCAGTGATCAACAGCATGAGCATCGATCTGCTCAATTGGGAACCGATGACATGTGTCAACCAAGTCAGCGAAACTGACCACCCGATCCCGTTAGTCGCCTCTTACGACAAGATAGTCGCCTTTTTATGGCAAGCACATGGGTTGCTGAAGACCTATTCTACCCCGGATCTTCACGGGTCCCCACAATGATGACTAGAACCTTTGTTTATCATAACAGTCTTACTGTAGTAGATACTTGTACAAAGTTTTACAGCGATGCCCTAAAGTACTTCTTGAATTCATCCTCTTCCACAGGTTGGTGGGCAAACCAGTTGCAATTTACAATATCTTTGGACGTGTAATTTTTCTCCGAAAAACAGAAAATGATAATAACGCCATGAAGGTATGCTCAAAGCATATTAACACATTATTACCTTGGATAACCCAAGCTGCCTGTTAGGTGCAAGGTTATAGTCACTTTATCCCACCAGGTACCCATTTTCTGCTGGGTGAACAGAAGCAATTTTGAACAAACTCACTTGCTAAAGGAGAGACCATGTGTGTTTCATTGTGGGACAGGACTGAAATCCTAGAAACTCTCAGGTGTCAAACTGCCAAACACTGTCATCCATCTAAGGACTCTCCACACCCAACGTTGCCCGACTTGAACTGATTTGTGACCTGAGCTTGATGCACAGGACCACACACCACCACTGTTCAGAGGGCATAGATTACTTTTTGGTTTAACTACTCATTATTTTGTGCGTTTTTCCATCGTGTGATGTGACTCCTGTGGTAATCTGGCAGATTTGCACTGGCATATTTCAGCATGAAATTAGTGTCATATTCAGTGTTACTTCTAAACCAGCCCTTGGGGTTTGTGTAGGTAAAATGAGTAAAAATAAGTGAAATTTGAAAAGAGGCACACTTAATATTCAGCCAAGACAAGAGTGGCTCTGGAGGTTCTTCTCCCCTCCATTTTACTGCCAAGTCTGGACTCATTACCCAGAATCCCCTACTGGGTTTAACATTGATGTTTTGCTTTGTTTAGTCCAGCCTGATGATGAGGCATGGTATCTGGCCACACCCAGATGGCTACCAATCACATCTGCCGCTTGCACCAGTTACACTGTCCTCCATTCCACCGATCATCGTTAACAATTTCATCCCTCATTACATCAGATGAACTCATGAAGATAATTTGCACAACCCAACTATTCTAAATGAGATCATAGATTTTCATCATTTAATGGTCCCGTTACGTGAAATGATTGTCTTACTGTTAGTGTAATAAATATTGCAGGTCAGACGGTTATAAAATTTTATGCAGAAGAATTACGTGTTTTTTTACTTGCTTTCTCTAAATTGATCGAAAATGGAAATTTGTTTCGTTTTGTGCTAAAATACAGCATTGGTTGTACAGAGAAATACCATTCCATGCTATACAGTTAACTGGTTGAAATCAATTTGCACAAATAAATAAAATCAAATCGTTTCTATGCTGTCTAATTAATAATGCAATTGAAAAATATTGATCTATAAACTTTGTGACTAGGCGACTGATATGAATATTGATATTATGCGAACGGGTATTTGTGATGTGGTCCAGAGTATCTATTCAATCTGTGCAGAACTGTAATGTCAATTCACTAGTCGTACCTGCCCCAGCAGCAGCAGCAGCCAACTCCGTCAGCATGAATAACTAATGGCCGCCAGTCAACACCTGTTGGTTGCTATAGCAACTGGTTTGTGTACAGGTATTCTGAAGGCTACCTCACAGCCAGGGTTAAATGAGCTAATTACAATAACGGGGGACTGGCATTAATATTTATAATTCTATCTAAAGGAAGAGAGTTGTTGTGGCAGCCTGCTCTCTGAATACATGCATTGGTTGAAGGACTGGGATAAAACTTGTCACAAATCTCACTATTCATTTGGAAGCTGGAGGCAGCCCAGATAATTATCACCTCTGACAAGAAATAAAAGACAATGTCTAATCCTCCATGGAAAATGTTATTTATCTTAATTTTGATCAGTTCCACCTGCAATTTCTCTGCTTACTGACATATCCATCCAATGCTTGAGTCACTGCCTCAGCAGTTTTATTTCGATAAGACTAAGCTGTCATGATTCTTCTGCAGTGTTGTGGTATTGTGTCGGTCAGGTGAAACATCAGTGTAAAAAAACCATTAAATACTTTGCTGATGTTGGAAAACATTTAAGCCATTGAATCTTTATTGTAGAGATATCGAACTAGACAGCTCTAAGGGCCATTGCATGCAAGTATTCATCTTGGTGAATTGCTTTTTCACTCCTTGAAAATTTATTGACTGCAATACAAGTTGTTTCTTATTGTCATCATTTTCATTATTTATTCAACATAAAGGGATGAATGATGTGAAGAGGTAAGTCATGGCAGTCATTATCCTTTGATAACCAGTCAGAAAATTCTGCTGTCCTTTCATTGTTCATGTCACAATTCCCATGACAATTTGTACTTGTCCATGACATATTCCTCAAGATGATGTGATCTGGTATGCCATACATCAGAACCACTTCACTTTCCTCTATGAGGGCACCCGTGAAGGTCCGGGTTAGAATGTGCCTTCAGTAACCCATGCTTTTCGTAAGAGGCGACTAATGGGATTGGGTGGTCAGGGTCGCTGACTTGGTTGATGTCATCAGTTCCCAATTGTGCAGATGAATGCTCATGCTGTTGATCACTGGATTGTCTGGTCCAGACTCGATTATTTCCAGACCGCTGCCATATTGCTGAAATATTGCTGAGTGCGGCGTAAACTAAACTCACTCACTCACCCTCTATGAGGGCAGATGGTCTATCCAGTAAAACACCGGCCATGTAGTAGATATCTGGTATTTACATCTTAACTGAAGCAATACATCATTTAAACATCTAAACATGAGCCTCAAATGATCATTCTCACAAGCATTATATACATTTAAATTTCAATATCCCTTTTAAGGTTAGATGTTTATCTGACCATAAAAACCACGCTGCAAACATAAACAAATCCAAACAATTGTGCCAGTACTTTCTTCTCCATTGTTTAACACATGTTCATTACTAAAATGACCTTGACATTGACCCCCACCAACAATATACAAGGAGTGGCGATAGAAGCATTGAATATCCATTTGTCCTTCAGTGATTAGTGACATGAGAGAAAGACTGGGGACAGATGGACGATAGAAGACCGATGACTGTCCACAGGAAATACACATAAATGATTCAATAAATCGTGCATACATGAGTGAGGACCAATGATTCACGACATTCAATATGGCTGCTGTGGCAACAACCACTACATATATACCGGTATATATTCAGAATTCTGTAAAGACATTCAAGGACACTGGTGTTACATACTATATTATGTCATGACTCATGCACTCTAATATTAATATCCTTGTATATGGAGCAGGAATTGATTAAAGTATTTATAATTCCAATAATGCTTTGTGTCTTAAGAAAGCTGCTGTTTAACCGTGTCATCTATTGTATGAAAACTGCTATTGAACTTTGTTACATATCCTAAGAATGTTGATATTTCACTATGTTAAGGAATATTCCTATTCATTGCTATATTGTGTATCTTATTCTAATTTCACTGGTATGTATTGTATCTCAAGAATATTTCTGTTTCAGCACTATGTTATGTATCTTAAGAATATTCCTATTTGACAACAATGTAACCATATTATTAATGTACGGTATGCTAAACTTTGAGGACCATCACGAAAGGCAATAACTTTGTTGAATGTAATCCTATTATTCCCAAATTGTATGTGAATTTGCAAAATTACATTGTTGACAGGAAGAGAATGGAGATTTTAGTAACCAGTGACACAGAATATGATGCACCTGGGGAGGTAATATGTGCCCCAGTTGGCCCCAAGCTGAAAAAGCTTGTTAAACTGACGTCATTCGTGTAATCTGTTTATGTGAACCTGTTAGGTATGAATGCATGGAGAACATGCTTCAGTTATAATGACTGATGGATACCATATTGGAATAGTGATCAATATGGAAATTATTCAAAGTTTTTACTTTTACTGCAGCCACTGTATTCACAGTCAGGCTGCTCAGATTCTCCTCGAGTGGTTTGAATGCGTCAACCTTGTTACTTGCAACACTAAACTTCAAGGCTTTTAAAGGGATTCTTCAGTTCGGTTACTAGTCTTAGTCTTTCAGCATATTTTTAAATCCAGATATAGTTAATAAACTATCGAGCAGTATTTTCCAACAAGATATATTTTCACAACCATTTCAAGTTTGTCAAGAAATTCTCAAGCTGTTTTGGTGATTTTCAATGCAATTCAAGAGGGACCTTAAAATTCGAAACTTTTAAAGCCTGAATGAGTGAGTGAGTGAGTATGGTTTTACGCCGCTTTTAGCAATATTCCAGCAATATCACGGCGGGGGACACCAGAAATGGGTTTCACATATTGTACCCATGTGGGGAATCGAACCCGGGTCTTTAGCGTGACGAGACAACGTTTTAACCACTAGGCTACCCCACCGCACTGAAGTATAACCACTGGAAAACCTCCCTTTTTGTTAACTGAATTCACCTATCAATAACTCTGTGGATGAGAAAAACATTCAATTGCTGTCTGATGGAGTAACTAGTTACCTACCCTGGACAATGGTGGATGGTATAATGGAACAGGACCCCGGATCCTATTTCGCTGGTTTTGTGGTGGTGTGCGGTCCTGTGCATATAGCACAGGTCACAAATCAGTTGAAGTTAAGCAATGTTGGTCGTCGACAGACCTTGGATGGGTGACCATATGTTTTATGAGATATTGCACTTACATAAGTTTGAAAAGTGGTCAAAGTTTCCAGGTGACCTTGAAGATAAGGTCAAGGTCACCCAAATCGACTGGTGTCTGGGTAAACCCCAAATGTAGGCCGTCACCAAATTTGAAGACATAGGGTACAACAGTTCATGAGATATCGTGTTAACAAGAATCGGGACGTACACACGGACGCTGCTGAATACATAGTCCCTGCGTTGCAGTGGGGCACAATGAAACATGTTGAACCCAACTATATGTTACATTTGACCACTTTCTAAATGGTATTGTGTATTCATGGGAACAGTGCCAATTAACACTTGTCAGAGGGGTACATAAAGTATGTGATCTAGGCGAGGTGAGGTGAAATTGGGTTTAACGTCGTGCTTGAGAATATTTCGCTCATATGACGACATGCATGCGTATGTGGATGTGCGGCTGCTTGTACTAGCCCAGACTGAAGCTGGTTTTATAGTGCTAGCCCACTGAGATACCATGCCGCAGTGAAGCATGAATACCCCACTCAGACACATTATACTGACTCCAAGCCGACCAGTCCTTGTTGTACCCATTAATGCTGAGCACCAGGCAGGGACCAACAAGTACCATATTTTAACGTCTTTCGGTATTACGGCGGGGATCGAACCCGCGACCTTCCGCTCTCCGGGCGGACGCTCTAACCACTACGCCAAGGAGGCGGTCCTATGTAGATGAAGCTTGGTGCTAGCCCACTGAGATACCATGCCGCAGTGAAGCATGAATACCCCACTCAGACACATTATACTGACTCCGAGCCGACCAGTCCTTGTTGTACCCATTAATGCTGAGCGCCAGGCAGGGACCAACAAGTACCATATTTTAACGTCTTTCGGTATTACGCGGTCGGGGATCGAACCCGCGACCTTCTGCTCTCCGGGCGGATGCTCTAACCACTACACCACGGAGGCGGTCTGTATGTGATCTAGACTACCAGTAGTCAGACTTCCGTTTACATGGAAGCAGCTGTGGCTGAGTGGGTTAGATGGTTGATTTTGTGTGTGGTTTTCGAAGTCAACATGGTACTAGAATCTGATACTGAGAACGTGTAACCCCAAATATAACATGATACAAACCGTTGGTTCCATTGTGCCTAATTCCTCAACTTACACTAATACAAAATTGTTTTGTACTTCTGGAACATGTTGTTTTATTGCACTAAGATATGTGTAAGTGTCTTGTCAACTAGTTAACTATGTCACCCAACAGGAGACCACAGTATTGGTCAATCTCGACCCAACAGGAGACCACTGTATTGGTCAGTCTTAACCCAACAATTGACAGATGTAATGGTCAGTCTTAACCCAACAATTGACAGATGTAATGGTCAGTGTCAACCCAACAGGAGACAGCTGTATTGGTGAATCTCGACCCAACAGTTGACAGATGTAATGGTCAGTCTCAACCCAACTGTTGACAAATGTATTGATCCATCGTGACCCAACAGGAGGCAGCTGTATTGGTCAGTCCTGACTCATCTTGAGACAGCTGTATTGGTCAGTCTCAACCCAACACGAGACAGATGTATCGGTCAGTCAAGTCAACCATGAATGTGATCAAGTTAGCACCAGCTGTATTGGTCAGTCTCGACCCAACTGGAGCCAGGTATATTTGTCAATTTCTAGACCCAACTTCAGACAGCTGGATTGATGCTAAATATTGAATAAATACAACCATCACTCACTTATTCATGGGTCATACAAATCACTGAGACCCATCAAGTATGAGACATCCATAGATAAGGAGTCCAACATGGGGTTCATTGTTCTTTAAGCATCAGCTCAGCCTCATGAAGCAATGTCCCTATACATCAGGGTGTGGAAATATCAGGTATGATGAACTACCAAGATGTCACAATGTGCCCCATTCAAGACCTGCCTAAGTACAAGAGTAATGGCAAATCTCAGATACACATTACTGTATATTAAAAAGGAAACAAAATGCATACTGGAGGTGTCATGATTCAGCAGAGAACTGATTCATCATTAATGAAACCATACAAGATTCAAGAGAAGACGATGCATTATCTGATTTAACACTGAACTCAAGATTAAATTTCAGAAAGCAATATTTTCCAACACTTACAACAGCCTGTCCCACGAACTACTGAAGCTAACCAGTGTATCACCCTACATTAAGTTAGATACGAGTGAATAACACTACGTCTAATTAACAAATCGTACTGAATGACCACGATCAGGATGACGACAATTAATAGGCATTAAGTACTGAGGATGGTGTATTGTGACATAAACTATGTTAACAGCTGGGTGAGTTCAGCCTGCACCAAGCTTTCTGTTTGCTAGCCTTAACATGCTAATACACCAGTATAAATTCAGAATACTTTAGTAAGTCAAACATTATCTGCTTTGCAATTACTTACCAATAATATACTTTGTCAAATAGTACAGTTTATTATAAAATGTAGACAGTAAAACCAATTTCTCACACTAAGGATTGATTTGTATTATGGCTACAGGTGCAGACTGCCCAAACACTGAATTGTTAAGACTGGCCATGACACGTGTCTAGAACATATTGAGAAAGCTGCATGAAAACAACAAACACAAATGTAGAACTGAACTGTTTATTATAATAATAACATAGTATTTCAACATGTTTTACATTTTAAAACAATGAGAATACAATGATAAAATGACCCGCTCGGACCCCAATGTCCGACCTACACAAACATGCTGCATCAACAGAACCTAAAAATAATTACAATGATGTTATCTTGTGTTAAATAATAAAACAAACACAACCTTCATGGTTGCAAGTGAAAAATGAGTATGAAATTCGTGAAATAAAACATAGAACATCTGATACAAACATGAGATGAGAGGGAGATAAAAAAATAGTCACTTGTATTTATTACCAAAATGCACTTTTAATAAGAGATTTCTTGAATGTATATTGTGAGATGTTGAGCTACGTGGAACAGACTTCTCATACTAAGTTTGTTCATCAAGGTCATAACAAAAATGAACACATACATGAAGCGTGGCTTGTCATTAACAGGTGACAATGAATGCTTAAAACATTATTCCTTATGAATTGTCATGATTTCATTGTAAAAGATTTGAATGTGAAGCTTGTTACCAACGACAGGTCAGTGAGGAACCAACTGTTATTTTTATTGCCCTATCAAAAGTGCAGTAGTTGAATACAAATATACAAAAGGCAAGTGTTGTGGAATCTCCCCACTCACTGCAGTAAGAAGAGGCTCTCCACAGTCTGCGCTCAGTGTCCTGCCTACAGTATGTGCTATGTGACAAGCTGCCTACAGTTATTTCCCCTTGGTAGTGCAAGCACCATCAGCATGAGCTATCTAGATGAGACAGAGCCGACTGGTCCAAGTAGACGATCCCCCAAAGTCAAGTACATCTCCTAGTACTTCCCTGAGTACTTCTTCACACTGAAAATAGATAGCATTTTACTGAATAATTTTACAACTCAACAAAAAAGCGACACTTCCTAATGAAGAAAGAATTGTATTGCAGTTCATGATAAATTCAAATATATTCTGGTGTCTTAAAAAATGGACAATACATTGATGTTTCTAGGTATTATTTTCCCCAGTTTTACGAGAAATAATTTCAATGCAAGATATCACAACCTTAGTTAATACATGGATCAATTCTCAAACTGAAAGCCAAGCTGACAACTCAAGTGCTGCGCAGAACGGGCTTTGCAGATGTTTTATTGGAGGCAAACTAAAGAGAAATCTTGTATGCTATTCTTTTGCATGAACTAAAAAATACTCTTTGTCTGCTTGACTATATTAGAAAGCCGAGATAACACTATAAATACCTGGGTGGTATGGAGCCAATGACTTTTCAACACAAGAGTTAATGGTGGCCGGCCTAGTACCTTGATCTTATTGTAACATCTTATTAAACTGACTGACTGAGTTTGGTTTTACGCCGCTTTTAGCAATATTCCAGCAACATCATGGCGGGGGACACCAGAAATGGGCTTCACACATTGTACCCATGTGGGGATTCATCTTATTAAAGATATTGTGTGTGATTATCATCTGCTACACATTTAGATAAACATTTCCAGTAAAGGTTAATTGAGAAAATATCCTAAAATGTGTAAAACTATTTTAATTTTCCAGTTTAGCATCCACATGCTGACACCAAAACTCTCTGGAGGACAAGCTCAAATTACTAAAGTGACATATAAAGCAACTCTGTTGCACTTGTAGTGGCATTATTTTATAATTATGAAATTATATGTAAAGTGCATCGAACGCTTTGAATTTGGATAGTCTGTTTTCAAAAATAAGTGTTTTTCACAAACAAAGGAAAAGTCTGGTCATGACCATACCCATGGTGTGTCACTTGATTAGAAAATTCTTTTTGGAAAAAGATAAGTACAGTTATCGGAAATTGTCTGTATGCAATGCTGCATACTGGCCCTTTTAGAATTGTACAGATAGTATACAGTATTCTCTTTCAACATACAGAAACAGCATAAAACATCCTTTAGCAGATGAACAGTAAGTATTCACTTTACTGTAAATGGACATTGACAATAATGAAGCTGTACACATGCAACAGATATGCTACAAGCAAACACGGGAAACCAGAAATATTGCTAATTTTATAATGTAGGTAGGTTTGGAAAAGGAACTTCTGAAGGAGTCAGAGTGAAAAGTGAAGGATAGCAAAGCTTCTTGGACAAGGAAAGCGATCCTGGCTCTTCGAACAAGGAGAATAAGATCCTGAGCAGGAATTAGGACCTTGTCACTGGCATTAGATATATTTTTGGATACTTTTTAGTTTGAACCCATTACTATCACTACATGGTCATAAGTTTCCAAGAGCTCATGCATGACACCCGACATCCCTACTCCTGGACAGAGATTAGTACATGACTGTAGGATAGAAGTAGGTTAAAATGGTTGCACTGCAGAATGAGACTACACCTATGTGTATAGATAGTGCAGATTACAGCAGAGAGAGACAACACACAAGCTTGCCGAACTTTTGACCATCTTGCCATAACATGCAAACTAGCCTGTTTCCCAGTGAATAACGAGGCAGCGATGAGCAGACTACATGGTGGCAGAATGAAAGACCTGCTTCTGTACTCACCCCCCTGCTTGTTGCATCTGCCCTCTCAGTCTGATGATTAGAAACACACAAACTCAGTCAGCACAAGGACACATACAACATTAACAAAACCTAGCACGACAAATACTTCTGTCATTTGCTCTTCTTGGCATTGAACAAACATTTTGGAATCAGGTGGCAATGAAAAGTGATTTCCTTTAATGATCAAACAAGTAAAATATAATCCAGATAAATTAGTTACAGGTCATAAATACAATAAATAGGACAACATGAATCGCTGTTGAGAAAAGGTAGGTCATAAATAGGGGTGTTATGATTTAGAATAAAAAGTACAGATTAACAAGATGAAAAAGTGTCATACACAAATAGATATGCTTACAATTGTACAAATAGGAATCGTTCATTGAACTGGTGCACAACACCAACACAGTGTTACAGAAGTTAGGACAAACTGTTATCCTCATAGTGTATAGTAACTGAGGAATGTTTTATCTGAAGGTGGTTTTAAATTAATATAATATGGTACATAGATCATGCACACAAGTTACCATGCCAGCACAATGTATCTAAATATACCAACAAATACCTATCTTCAGTCATTGTTTTCCCTTTAATTGTTTCACTACAGTTTGAGGAAGGGACAAAAATGGTCAAAAGTTTGACAGCAGCACAGCAATAAGACTGACTAGCTCCTCCTATATTATGTTAATTAAACATTGCTGATAGAAAAAGAAATATGTACAAATAAATCAAGGATACAGAATCTTCCAATATCACAAACAAAAACCATTATGTGAAACATGCCGCAAACCATAACTTCATTACCTTTATATGATTCAAATACCCATCTCAAATCATAAGATCACAACCTACACAGTTCTCAGTTTGCCTTACCAAATGAAAGATAAAATTACTCCACTGAATCTGATAAAAATCTGTGTGATCTAGATGAAAGAATTAAACCTACAAGATAGCAACTGAAACTTTCACATCCGAGGTGACTGTAACATAAACTAATATACATCATTAGCATCCTAGGATTAGGAAACACAATGAAAGGAGCTACACTCTTCAAAACTTTATCCCTAGAGTCCAATTCACCAGTATCTGCATGAAATAAAACAAAATACCCATCTCCATGCTAAGAATGTTAATATGAAACAAGAGTTGAAAGGTCATAGCGACCCAGATCATCCAGTGTGAATGTCATGCTAGGTTAGGGTCAAGGCAGCAGGCTGTTAGGCACAACCTTAGTCAGAGAAGAATGTGATTTATTGTTAGGTATATACAACAACAAAATCACTAGTCTTCCAGACTAAGACTGAGAGTTAGCAAGCATCCATCACCAGGTGGAAGTATCAGTCGCAGATCAGGCAGTTAGACAAGCATCTAGCCAGCATTGGAACTAATAACAATTGCACACACTACCTAGTAATGGAAACTCTCCAACACCTTCAATTAACTAACCATATCCTGGGACTAAGGAGAAAATTGTAAGAATTGAAATTCAAAGCCATAAGAAGAGACTAAAATTAGGTTCACGAATAAAAATATCTATCAAGCAGTTAAAAGCAGCATAAGAGATTACTTCCTCTATTAGATGTTAGAAGTTAAGTAATATTAGTCAGTTCAAGTTGTTAGATCCATGCCATATGGGAACCATGCAAAGTTGCAGCAAGACTTGTATGCTATCACTAATCCTATCTTTTACACTATCAATAACCAGTGTAACCTCCTAACAAGATGCCTGAGTAAATCCACGAGCAGGGGAGAGATGTTATGAGACATGGTTAGAGTCAAGCATCTACTTGTCTAGTACAAGATACACAGTCTCAACAAGTACAGAATTACAGAAAAAAACTTTCATTTTGTGTTAGATCATATCAGTCTGAATTGACTTAATTGTTTTTATTAAGTATATTCCATAATGAGGAAAACAAAACATTCATAAACAAAAGTCACAATTTATTTTTCAAATTTCAAAATTTGGAAAAAGACTGGTAATGTTTTATAAATTTGGCGTGCTCTACTTGTGAGACTGAGTAGCTTGACTAGATTGTTAAGAACTGGTTATACAAGCTTAGGATCTGTAAATGCTCACCTCATCTGCAGCAAGTACTGAGCGTTCTGTATCTGGTCAGGGGTTCCTGTAATCGTGATGATTCTATCGTTGGAGCCTGGTAGGGCCTCATCAATCACGATCTGAGCATTTGACTGGCGGCGTATATCCATGATACGACTGCCGCCTTTGCCAATGATTGCACCAGCCATCTGAAACACACAAACAAATTAGTGTTGCTACGAATTCTTTCTGCCTTGACAGAAATGTTTAAGAGTATTAAAACCTTAAGTTTTCTGGAAGAATTACTTTCGTTTAAATTTGAAATGACAAATCAACTACACATGTATAGTATAGGTCCATCTCCTATTCTCGCGGGTTTCCTATTCTCGCGGTAAACACATTTTCTGCCGAAATAGGCGATGCGCGACACTTAGCGGTTGTTTACATCACCGACTGGTAACTAGGAAGTGGACCAAGTCTGTGAGTGATTAAAATCTTGCAGTGCCACGAATATTCGGGAGTTTATACCAACTTGGACATATCATTACTTTTTCCCGCCCTTTCCGGCAGGATTGCTCTTACATACACTCAATAACATTAATTTCTGGTAATACCGCGAGAATGGGAGAAGCCTTGTTTCGTCAATGGCGGATGGCATTGTTTATCACCGGGCTCACGAGTGGTAATTCACCTGATGGATCTGGCAGCTGATAGATGTACATGTTAGAGGAGAAGGCACATCATTTAAAAACAACAAGCATTAATACGATAAGAATTGTTTGTGTTATTTTTTCAGCCGATATCCGTAAGTACCGCGAGAATAGCTGAATAGCTGTTCTTCAACTTCTTTTGATTAATATCTCATGTGATATCTGATTCAACAATTCTTACATCTTTTGGAATGGTGACTTGTGTGGAGTTCGTTTTTTCATCAAACATCATTCCCTGGTTCCCCATGCCTCCCTGGAACAAGGAAAAACATTGTCAAAACATTAAAACATGTTATAAAAGTGACAAGCACTGAAGTATCATGGCACATGTTTCCATTTGAACAGTTTTTGCAAATGAAGTTATAAGACCATTGGTCAAATAGAAGTCAATACCATATCTGGTATATCAACTCCCAATATCTGGTATATCAACTCACCATATCATCCCCGAAGTCGTGCATCCCTCCTCCCTGGTTGAAGCTTCCGCCCATCCCTGCACATAACAAAAGCCATACATACACTATACATCAGCTTTCTTATTTGTGACTAATATATAATGGAAGTAAGTATATGAGTTAAGTGAATGTTGATTTATGTCACATCAGCAATTTTGCAGCTATTCGCAGCAAGAAAAGAAAATGGATATATCAAGGCATGAGATTATGACATCATGTGAGAAGTTTGACAGCTTTAAAACATTTTCCCAGATCCAGACGAACATGTTGCACCATCACACCTGATGTACAAGGTGACATTAAACTGGTTGCGATGAAATTTATTCACGTGACAGCTATTGATCTGACCTTGTTCAACATCAGCAAGGAGTGATTTGGGGGAGGAGAAGTCTCCCTGGCCACCGCCACCTCCACGGTTCATGTTCCCTCCACTGCTGCCCATACTGCCATTTGGAGAACCTCTGGAATACATTCAAAAACTTGTTGAAGCAAATTTCCCCAAAATGAAAAACTGGTTTTCATAACAGTAACTTTATAGAGAATCGTCCAAGAATGAGCTCATACAATGTACCCATGTGATAAATTCTAATCCAGGCCTTTGGCATAAAAAAATAACATTGTAAGCACTATGCAACACCAAAGACCCAGTAATCATTAGAGTAATAATGAATAATTAACATTAACATTCGTACACCTTACAGAAAGATAAAACTGAATGAAGACAAACACTGGTAGCTGTAGGCTCAACATACCTCATTCCTCCACGTCCTCCCATGCTGCCTCGACTTGTTCCTTGTCCGAAAGCCATTCCAAAGGAGCTGCCCCCCATTTCACTCATGTCATTGTCCATCCCCCCACCCATGCCCCCCATACCACCACCCATGCCTCCTCCTCGCATCCCCCCTCGGCCCATCATCCCCCCTCGGCCCCGTCCTCCACGGCCAAAACCCATGTTCATCCCTCCACCCATACCAAAATCATTCATCCCCATTCGGCCTCTGAAAGAAAAGAAAAAAAGTACTTAATGGCATTTCTAAGGTGCCAATCAAACTAAGTATATAATTGCAAATTTTGATTAATTAATCATTAATTTAAATTATCCCAATGCAGTGATTACATTTTGCATTCTTCTTTCATCGAAACAATATGCAAATGATAACAGAATGGGAAAATGACAGACCTTCCACCCCTCATTCCGAAGTTTCCTCTGGGTGGGGGAGGAGGAGCTCCTCGTGGGCCTCCCTTGCCTCGGCCACCTTCGGCAGATGTGAAGCCACCATACTCATGTGCAAAGAACTCATCATAATTGTGTGGGTCGTATGGCTGGATTGGGCCTTTAGGTGGAGCCTAGAAACAGGTGAAACATACATTTAGGATTTAGATGCAGTTTTGTGAACACACAACATAATTCCCTTTACACTTTCCCTGTCTTGTCCTCTAGTATACCTGTAGGTATCCAGACAAGTTATTGTATTACAAGCAATAAAGTTCAGTCTCACCTGTTGCAGAGTTTCAAAGACTTCCTCAATACAACCAACGACAATTTTGGGTTTGCCAGAGATCATCACCACTTTCGATCAGTGGATTGTGGACAGCACTGTGAATACACCTTGATGTTAGCTCCAGTTTTCTGAAACGAAATAGGCCAGATATAGACATATTTGAGAAAGACAGCCGGGTCCTGGTCCATATCTGCATAAATGTATTGTGTCAAAACAGGATTACTGGTATGAGCATATGAGAAACATATAAACAAAGATCAGAATACAATGTAATGACTAAGATATAGAACAAGGATCAATGCTGTAAATAGAGGAGGGTCCTGAAGATGTTCTACCATAGCATATGAATCCACAGATCACAAAAATTTGTTATCCATTACAAGGATCCCTTAACTAATATTTCCAATGTTGTAGATGTTTTACAAAATACATGAAATAAGCAAAACAATGATATATACAGCATACAGTGGTGTGCAGTCTGGAGTGCTGACCCACCTCTCTAAGTTCTTTGATCTTAAAGCCGGCTCGGCCAATGATACATCCTGCCTGACTCTGATGAACCAGCATCCGCATCTCACAGTCAAAGTCCATGCCATCGTGATTCTTGTACTGATGTAGAAAGAACAGTGTGAGCACAGAGAATAGCAAATTCTTAATGTTACACTATAATATCACATGTGGGTGGTGACAAATTTCCTTTCATGTATAAGGTTGTAAGAATCATGCCAAACAGGATATTGTGAGAATATATATGTAAGGGATAAAGTGGTGGCAGTGAATATATAAATGCTTCAGCAATGCTACTTTTCTCATCGTTCTATCAAAAAAAAGAAGAAGAAGGAATTTCTTGATGACAATGACAGAGTAACATTGCAAGTATTTGTATTCTTTCTGATGGAGGCATAAGAGTTATTTTATCTCTGCTGCAGCAGGTGTAATGTTGGGCCTAGAGGTTACTGGCACTGATTCACAAGCTGGCTGCAGGAATCCAACTAATGATGTCAGACATGTCAACATGCCATATTTAGCTTTCAGGAAACACAAAGAGACCATTTCCTAGAGTCATTTTTTATGTACGAACCAGCATGTAGAAGTGTCAGAAAGTAATCACTGCTACATCTGTTTCCAAATCAAGTACTGATAGATTTATACATAAAACATTCAATTTAATGATTCAAGATAACAAAATGCAAACAGTATTATATTGTTATTAATTTTTGGAGATAAAAATAACTATGTTTTTCTTTGCTGAATATATTTTGCATTGAGTTAGTGAAAACATACCTCCTCCAAGTTGGGAATGACATCAAGTATACACTCGAGGACGGTGCCGAGGTCTGCGCTGACGGAGAGTATGCTGTAACAGTAGGATGGTCACAGTTACAGAGACTTCGGAGGTGCACAGAAGGCACAACACAACATTCACTCTATGTGTAAGATCTACCAATACCAAATGTTAAATTCAAACTGTCGGACTTGGACTTGAAGAGTCGAAATTCATTAACTAAAAACAAAACAAAATGTGTTAAATATGCATACCATGCTAACATTTTCATGTATTTTACAGTATTTCTTTTAAAAAAAAAAATCACAACACATAGATGAACTTAAATCCAAAACAATTCACGGCAATCATTGCTGGCAGCCATGACTTCGGGTAATTATATTTGGTCAGAAAAAAACACACGTCTGTCCAAGGAAGTTTCTTCTCATTTCCATTTTATTACAAGGGCACACTCTGGAGCTTATAGTGGGTTCAGAGGAAGTATTTTCCCCCACAAAATCCAACAACCCCCTCAATAACCCCCTCAAAGTGGGCAATAGGCTGTGTGGGTGTAACCAACTGATGTAGACAGGGTGCATACCGTTCCGGACCGTCGCTATCTGGTACCGTTACTGTGGCTTTGAACTTCAGAGGGTGAACCATGATTCCGTGTCAAGGACATTCAGACAATCAGGGTCAAGGCCATTGTTTGATGGGCGGGCGGGCGAGAGTTTGGGGTGGCGAGGTGGAAGGAAGGGTACAAGAATAATTATCAGATCTTCTACACAAAGTATATGGGCAAGGATCATACTTAGTCATTCTGTTACTCACATTCTGAGAAAATAAAAAGGCATGTCATTATCCAAGAATAAGCAAAAATTGAAGCATGGTAACGAAGACAATAATCTAAATGGGCTGTATAAATGGGCTATTTGATTACATTTGGCCAGAGTGATGGCCCCTAATAACTGAAGGACCCCAGGCAAGAGGAGGAACAGGGCCAAAAACATGTGCTATATTCATCAAATTATTGTAAAAAAGAAACATTTTATTTTCATGTTTTCTTTGTGAATATCTCTTTTTGCTTACTAAATTTTTCCATTTATTGCATAACAGTGTCCAGGCCAAACTAATATGAAACATCTTAAAGGGTTCCAACAAGTATGTTTCATAAAACAATTTCATTATGTAAAACATGCACGACTGTTCGGAATACAGATGCCTATCTAAAATTTTTTTTTTTCCTTCTTTGGAGCAATACAGTGTTTGAAGAGCTACAGTAGAGGGCGTGGACACTGTTGAGCCACATATATTGGACAGGTCAGGGAGTACCTGCAGGGCTTTAGTTGTAACTACCATAAATGTCACTATAAGTCAGAAAACAGTTTTCAGGGGTTTGATGTGCTTTCACTTCAAACTCTTGTATTAGTCAAACTGTTGACGTGCTACAATGACGTGCCTGTGATTATGTTATCTCTTACTAAACTTGAAAACGGTAACAAGGGGATTGACCTTGGTCTGCAAATTGTATACTCACATCACTTCGAAGACGTTTGATATTCACTCCTCCCTTGCCAATAATGGCCCCTGCATTCTGAAAACAAAAACCTCCTCTTGAAATACTGGAGACAAAATATATATCATATCATAGTATATATCTATATTTCATACAAAGATGGTTACTTAATAGCATTAAAACATTCACCCCAACTGGCACTCTGGTAATATTCCATAGTGAAGGATGCAAGTTGTATTGTCTTCCAAGCTGACTGTCACAGATATATTGAGTAACAGCGTGTAATTACAAATATGTTCTGAACCAAAAATATGCAAGGAATCAGTGACACCATCCCCATGGGTATCAGTATGAATCTAGGGTTATCTGAGTCACTATCACAAATAAAATACCAGCAGAATCTATACCTCAACAGGATGATGGTTTTATAAAAAATCAATTAGGATCTTGAAAGGTTTCTTCCTTATTCTTTTCAAACTAACTGCAGTAAGAATTGAAGATGCACGGTCAACAGCATCCTACAGTAAAGTCTGACAATAACTAACGTAAGTGGCATGTTATCTGGTCAGGCATTCTCTCATGTTGAGCTGGGAAAATGTTACAGAGTGACTACAGATGCTGAACATTTTCCTTCAACTTTCTAATCGATAAAAAATGACTTAGGAATTATTTTACAGCAAGATTAGAGCAGATGCAGAGCTTGCTTCACTATCTCATCAAGATCCAATCATGGTTCTCTGAGCTTGTTGTAACGGTAACACAATTATAACGACAATCACTCAAGTCTCTTTGGTCTCAGAAACATTCCTTCCCCATTAGCAAGGAGAGTTCCGTATGGTGATTTATTGCCATAATCGAGGCAGTGTATGGAGGCGATGTAAGGAACATGGTCAATCCACCAAGATGAATAAACCATTGTCTTCAATACTGCCATTGTTGTTTAACAGATCAGCAACACCCAAAGCTCACGATTAACTCACAACATTGAACAGATGAAATACTAATGGCAGTGAAATGAATTTGTGGGAAACAGTTTACCTGAATTATTCATTAAGATACCGTAAATAGAACATTAACCTCCCACATCATAAAGATTTAATCTTGGTTGCATTGTATCTAGACTTCAGGTGTTAGGGGTTAATCTGGTTCTGAGTCCCACCCCCAAAGACAGAAGTGGACACAGGATGCTTGTTCACTGACATCTTCCACCAGCACACAGGTGAACAATAGCCTAAGGAGATAGACGCCACAGCATGGGGGACTGATGTGGACATAAACCACTTAAGGGCCACGGTCAACAGCTCTTCACTGAACTTGGGCATGCCCCATCATGGAAGGTTGCTTTCTGACTACTGGTTCCATTGTATAGCCTGCTAATGACTCACATCCACAATGACTAGCAGCAGCAAACACATGAAAACGTTCCCGTTCAGGATTTAAAACACAGAAAGAACCTATCCCACAGTGTGTTAATGCAATAATCACCTGGGCATATGTTAATCCTATGTCGAATGATCTACAATATGGAAACAAGACTTCAGTCCACTAAGAGAACGGATGAGCACATATCATTGTGTTTCTCAGGTGCCTGGACTAGAGTAACTGGAGTGAACTAAGTCATAACGAACTCAGAGAGACCACTAATTCTAGTTTGTTGTAAATGCAGTTTGTTGTACAAATTTCGACTAAACAATACAGTAAGAGGATGGGACAGAAAAAAACGTTTGTGTCTGTCATGAGTGTGTTCTTTATAAATATAGTTTTCTATAGTTCTGATTGTTCAAATATGTATTTACAACTAACCTTGCTTTGTATGAGCACACGCAGATCAACCTTGGGTCCCTCCCCCCTCTGTCGCTTGGGAGCACCACAGTTCCCTTCTTCTTCTTCTCCACCCTCATCTAGAGGCCGTTTCATTCTGCCTGAAAGGACAAGGTGTTATATGTAGTATTAGTAACAATACTAACAGTCAGTTCATAACAAGCATCAAATCTCAGCAATTTAAGAATTACTAAAATACAGTAACATTTCACACAAATCTAACAAGTTAAGTGTGTGAAACGCGACTTGCTTTTCATATATGCAGGTAATATACAGAAGTTCACCTAAAACAATGCAAGCAGAGAAATATAACCCAAACAAGCAATGCGAGAAGGCACTTGCCTCACTTAGAAAAAATGTCTCTTTATGGCCCGGAACATTGCTTATTCATTATTTTCCCACCCTGTTATCAACCTTAATTGACAAATCAAGTACACAACAGATGTGCAGCCATGTTGAAACAGGATCATGAGAGCTTCAAACTTTATCTAGCAACTACTTGGCCCACTTGAACAAAGATATTTCCATGTGTATGAACCAGTGACACAGATATGCACAAGAAAAGGAAAGTAGTTTTCACCTGAGTTAGCAAAGACAATGATTAAAGACCTGAGCAGGTGGTCGACTGGTGACCTCCCACCTCACCATGACCGGTTGTCATGCAAGAGGCACCACCTCCAACATATTAATATCCTGACAACTGCTATTCGCTTAATTTGCTGGAGAGTAGGCACCTGTTTAGTTGATTACATCCCAGCATAAGCTGAATAATTGATAGATGAAGCATGCAAGCACCTCAGGGTGTCCCCAGGTAGCCAGCAACATACATCTTACACAAGTTTTAATACCAGAAATTGGATAAAAAAGAAATATTAGACACTAACAAAATTTGTTTCGGTTATTTCTGATTTTGGATAACAGTGGAACAATGACAATGTAAGTATAATCATTGTTATATCAGTGCATCTTACTATTTTCTTCAACATAATAGTTTTAAATTTCTTTCTAATGCTTAAACTAATCTAAAAAGCAATTTGGCCTACTATCAATACTGGTAATTTCCAAGTTAGCTCTTCATTGCCATCATGTAAAGACCTGGAGCCAGTCAGTCTGGTGGGCTGGACGCACTAATTTAAAAAACTAATGCTACCCAATATTGGCCATCTTGAGCGGACAGACGCCTTAAAAGCAGAGCCATTATGATCGGTAACATGGTCAATGGAACCTGGTCTTTCTGACTGTGGGAAAGAAAAGGCTGGGGAACAAAGAGCCTGTTACTACACTCTGCTACCTGAGCAGACAAATATTGCTGGTGGAAGCCAAAATCAATCTCTAAGTCTGCCTGGGATTGTGTGGATTTAATTTTTCTGTTATTCCCTTTCTTTGCATTGTTTCTCTGTTCCTTTTCATTAATAATTTCATCTGTTGACCTTTCCTTTCATAGTTTTTTTCAATTGACTCATTCTTGCAGGATACTGCTTGTGGTATTTCCCAAATATAAATAATTTAGAACAAAGTAGATTGCAAATACACTTCAACACAAAACTGCATTATTTATTTTGTTAAGTTCAGTTGACATCTTGTTGCAAGCGTCACCCCAAAATGGTCTCATCATTGGAAAGTCTTGTTGATCAGTAAAGAACAAAACAACAGGAAGCATAAGGGGGATTTCCAACTAAACAATTCAATGATCAAACTGAACATACTGTAGACACAATAGGGAACAGCACAGAACCTATTTCCAAATAAATATAAATGAAACCTAATTTCCAGAATAGAAGACAGGATGACAAAGAGCTCCTGTCTAATCAGTTTGGGATACAAAAGAAATGTTTAGCTGAGATTAACCTGGCCTCAAATATCCCCTACCCAAGATCTCCAGTTGAATATTTAGCATCATTAGATGGAGCTATTGATCGCCTGGTCCCTTAGTGTCAGACCCCCACAAACAAAGGCAATTTTTTGTTTGATTCATTGTTTTACATTCTGAGGCTGAGCAAACACAGCGGCCTGTTGCGGTACCTGGACTTCCAATAATCAGGTGATGGTTAGATTTGATAACTGAAAGTGGCACATGCTATCATAATCTGACTGCGATTATCTTTATCAACCTGTGCTAGCCAAACCTGAGGATCAGTTAATACAAAACCAGAGGGCTATTCCACGTGCATATTTTCAGAATAGTATTAACAGTACACAACAAAGATATTCATATTTCAAAGTAAGTTGCCATCAGTTCACCATGTTCACATACATTAGCCAGTTGATGTGTCTGTTGAGTCCTGGGATAGTACCATAGATCTAGGATTCGTTTGATTTTATATATTAAACTTCTAGATTAAAAAGTTTTTAGAATAACAGAAACGTTGGTTCTACAGTTCTACAAAAATCCTGCAAATTTTCATGAGATGGCAATGCTTCTGTTTTGTGGAACGGTATCAGGTAAAGGGAACCTTATGTTCAATATTTGGCATCAATACCTGGAGGTAAAAATCAATGTGTTGTGATTGATCACACAGTGGACACGCAGTCTCTGGGAACACACAGCCAATTAGAACTCAGAGCAGCTACTAGTCAGGCATGCCATTTCCCTCATTACAACCGAAAGCTTATCCTGTCACCTGCAATGGTTATTAATCAATTCTGTCGAAATAAAACTTGTTTTAGTTTGCAATTAAGGTAAGAATTTCCATGAAATCTTGTGTTATTTCAGCATGTAGTTTGCCCAAATTTCTACCTGAATCAAACTGACATTAATTGTTTGTTGTTGAGGGTTTACAAGGGTATCAGAATTCATGCATTCTGAGTTAACTATTGAGACATTTGAATGCCATCTAGTAACCTACACGGACATATAATCAAAGCTGTTGATCTGACAGGATGATATTATGTGATGTGGAAGCTATCACTGTTGATTATTTCAACTGCATCATGCTGACACTAGATAATTAAAGTAATCCAGTAGTCCTTCCAAACCAAACTAAAAATAACTTTAGAAATTAACAAGATAATCAACAAATTGGTTGTGGATGATCTTCAACAAATATTCCCCTAAAAGACAAAGAAAGTGATCCTATGCATTGTCTCCGTCTTCACTGGAACCTCCTGGAGGAGTATGTCTCCTGCCTGGTCCATAGGACACACATGGCCTGGACACTACAGAGACACATCCAAACATCATCTACAAGCCACTATTGCACAGAGAAGTCCAAAAACTACATCTCAATACACACACACACACACAATAAATATACTGATATCACTATGCTCCAACTGGCTACTTGCTTACAAGCATGACAGAGATATTACAGAATTTAAGAACCAGTATTAAAATCTCTTAGTACTTGGGCTTTAAGTGAAAATTGTTTTTAATTAAAGAAATGTTTCAAGTCAGCATATATCTGATGAAAATGAACCTGCCACAGTCAGCTATTTAAATATCCCTGAAAGTTCTACCTACACCTTCTAGCCCACTCCATCATCGCTCACTGCAAGGGATGGAACAGCACATTGTAAACTAGCCCTACTATAAAATCAGTCTCCCCACTGTGCAGAGCAAATGAGGCCTACCATTACTACTCTCTATAGTCCTCACAGCAGATGCTATTAGCACTGACTTTATAGATTGGCATGGGATGATACATAAATGACTAGACATTACTTCATGTTTATACATGATATATGACTCTCATTAACTGTGGCCAATAGAACTGATTCCAAATAACAGTTAAAGATAGTTACCCATACAAGCCAGTCACCATTACAACATGTTTGTACACGATGGAGTACCACATTATCCAACAGTTGGATGCTTCACGCTGAACAATCATAAACATTCGGATCTAGTACCGGGTGCTCACTAATAGTTCTGGTTAACAGTTGATGAAAATCCACAACATACACATTTACTGGGCTCACACATATCATACAGCTTTCGCTAATGGAAATCGGCTCCTGCTAAAGCCTCTAGCACTGCTGCTATAGGCAATCAATGTTATATTCGAAGCCTGAGTGTATTTAGAAAAGATTAAAAGCAATTAATGCACGACTGAGACAGGTATTGACGATGCCAGCCATGTGAAAACTAGAAACAAAGGTCCATAGGCGAGTTACAGTGTATGGCCGACCACAGAGGTGTTTAAACAAGGGGTGATGGTCGGGTAGTCAATACCCATTACCCAGGGTCAGATGAGCGAAACAGTTTCATTTCATTGTTAAACAAGCCATTGTTGTGAGTGCTTTGTTTGACTACACACAGCATAATGGCCACATTTAGGACAGTGAGTCTGAATGAGGCTTCACGTCTTCCCACCCATGATCGAGTTATTATTATCAGCCAGGTATGAAGGCCAGCCGTTAGATCAGCCTACAGAACAATGTGCACTCGTTGCCTTATAAATACTTTATGCCTCTCTTGTGCATATGCTCCAAGACACAGCAGCCTGCCACAAGTAGCACCAGACTACTGGGAGAATGGGACAGCAACAATGTAGCCTCAATCAGCAGATCTGTGCAATTATGCTGTTGCATGACAACTGACAAACATGGCCCAAAAAAATTTGTCTGCTTAGTCTCATCAGTATTTTAGTTTAGGACAAAGGTGTTCGAACCTGTTTGAAGGACAAATACAGTTAGAGCACTGTAAGACGTGTTCAGAACAGATCAATTTTATGGTTGGAGCAGAGCAGGAGCAGCAGTCTTCAAGTTGGGACTTGTTTCAACACCTACTGGTCATGTAAAATGGTATTTCCCACAAACCTCTCTTTCCAAAAATTATAAAAACAGAGCCACTGAATTACTTATTGACAATAATAGTTCCTGACAGCAATAAAGTAAGATATGAACTATTTATGACCTTGAACAAAATGACCTTTGAATCACCTTCATAGAACAATTTCTTGGCAAAAAAAGGACAAAAGTGAAGATTTTTCATTCATTAACACAATTTTACTTACAATTTTAGGGACTCGACTAACTGTAATAATAATGTAGACTACAGGACATATCTTAATGGTCACAAGGTGTGAGATGTTATTTAGAAGTAAGAGCGCACTGCCCAAACACAGGGACTATGCAGTCACTAGTTAAACTAACTTTATAT